AGGTCCCATATTTATGTAAATGTAAATTTGCCTCACATGCGTAATCAGAGATAGTTAATGCAGACTGTTTCCTCATTTTTACTTGAGAAGTTAAATTGCAGGTCCCTAAAACCAGGACACACATTACAACTGGACTTTGGCTGGCATCACAAAAAAATAGTGCATCCAGTTTGCAATCTGAACCAGAAGGCGGTAGAGCTGCAGTGATTAAGAGATTTGTTGATTGGAAAGAAATTCATCGGCAACCATTTTCACAACTTTTTGACATTTGATAGACTGAACGATTAATCAGTTAACCATGAAAATAAACGGCAGATTAATCGATGATAAAAATGATTGTTCCAGCCCGAGAAGTCATTTTGCTGATTTACTTCATTTAAATCAGATGAGCCGCTGTGTCGGCCAGTCAGTAATGTGAGTTCTCTCTGTGAGGATGTAACAGCTCCGGTGATAAGCTGAATTAATTCAGTAAATATTGCTGTAGCTTTTTAGCAGCTTTTTTAGGACAAATCATCACATCAAGCCTTTTTTGTATGTGTGCCAGAGGAGCAATGTGTTTTGAAAAGGCCACATTCTAAAGGATACATAATTTGGGAACTTTAATCTATGACTTGTGATTGAGTTGGAGATCACTAGCTTCATTATTATCGCAACAACTCCCCTTATCTCTACCTCTCCTGACTGATAACACACTGCCCAGTCTCTGAGTTGGGTCTGTATGTGACCCCTTATCACAATGTTACAAGACCTGTGTGTGTGTGTGTGTGTGTGTGTGTGTGTGTGTGAGAAGAAAGAATCTGTGTACTGTGTATACTACCAACATGCTCCCAGTTTAGGGTATTATTTGGGTACTCCAGGGGAATCCCATCATCCTTTAACTCTAGTGATGACAGATGGTGGAAGGCACTCCTTTTCTTTTTTACATTATTTTAATATGAAATTTAGTTACTCCTTTGCTTTTTAATAGCATTTCTTTTGACACTATCATAGAGTAAACTGCCTTTTTATTTTGTATGTTTATGTTGTATTAATTATGCTCCTTTTCATTGTTACTGTTGGTTTACGAAGACAGTATTGTTGAATACTCTGTCTTTTTGTTTTCATTGTATACAGACGTTAAGCTGATTTGCAACATCTTTTCTTTGGAAAAGAGATTTGATGGTAGACTTTTATTTGAGTGTAAAATGTAATGAATTTTAATGGCAAAACCCTTGTACACTTGCTCTTCTGTGAGGTCAAGAGTTATTTTATTTTCTACATATCATCTGTCCTGCCTCTGTTCTGCACTGAGCCTTTATCTGCCTACCAGACTCCTTGATGACCCTGGAAGGTTTTGTAGCAGATTTGTGGATGGAGATTTTGGTCTTATGTCCAGCCCTCTTTTAGCAGCAGAATGGTACGAGTGCAGGTGGCATGATGAAAATGATTATTTTAAACATTGTAAAATGTAATAAAATCACATTTCCTCTGGTGTTGTTGCAGATTTCTTGCTCTGTTGGCCCAAACACTGCACAATGACTTGGGAAAACCTTGATTTTGTATGATCAGTAAGTCACTTGATTGTTAATTTTACCTTGTCTTTCTCCTTATTTTTTTAAAAAAATTCTAAACAGTGAATAAGAAATTGAAATAAATATTTCTTAACATACTGAACTGGATGAGCTGAGTCTGATTTGTACCTGATCTGGTTATTCCAGGGTTAAAAAGTGTTGTGTTAAACCTTGAACCTCAAGTGTTTTGGGAAAAGCATAATTGTTGATATGGAGGTTTTGATGTGTGTTGTGCAGTGTCTGAAGCCATGTGAGCAATGTAGCAAACAGCTATGGCTAGTAACTCACCATTTTAGTTTTGTCCCTGCTTTAAATGTGGATTTCTTTCCCATCACCGGGTCTCATCCCCACTGAAGGCACAGCTCCTCCGGATGTCAGTGGATGAGGGCCTTCTGTGACTTTGTCTCATTGTTTATGAGGGGTGGGGTGGGAAAAAGGTGACACAGGTGCTGGTATGGAGAGATACCATAAACAGCAAAGTGTATATATTGCAAAATAATTGCTGAAGTATGGATGATTAATACAAGAACAAAAAATAAAGAATGAATGAAACTTCAGCGTGTTCTGTTTCCTAGTAGCTGTCTGCTGCGAATATGGACAGAGTTTTATGAGGTGAAACCCATAAAGTAAAGTTCTGAAGACCATGAGTTCCATTTTATCACTTGTATAGCCGGGTTTGATAGGCATCTCCCTTCGATAGCTCAGTTGGTAGAGCGGAGGACTGTAGGTTATTGACACAGTGATCCTTAGGTCGCTGGTTCGAATCCGGCTCGAAGGAGGTCTTTTTTTGATGTTAACGTCGAGACTATGTACTCAACTTAAAAGATTAATTATAAAGAGTCGCTGAATTAGTTACATTAGTTATACCGCCCCTCTAAAGCTTTTTAAAAGCTTCTCGGATCAGTAATATGTTTATCACAATAACAATAAGAAATATGCTCTGCATTACAGAACATTTGTCAGTCCCTGCTTTCAGTCGGCAGATTACATGTGTCTAGCTGTAACTGACGTCAGCTCATATAGGGTGAGTGTCTTCATAAAATCTGCATTTTACCCTCAAATTCTTGACTTGTTAGGAATGACGTATGGGTTTGAGATCGCGTGCTACAACAAGGGCTCGAACAGCCCCAGAAAAGTAGTTCCCTGACCGGGAATCGAACCCGGGCCGCGGCGGTGAGAGCGCCGAATCCTAACCACTAGACCACCAGGGAGAACTGTTTACAGAGGGAAATATAGAGATTATATTCTTAGTGTTGTTGTGATCAAGACGTTTATTTAGGTGTAGTAGGCAGAGGCTGCAGCTCTGTGGGTGCTTGATATGACCATATTTTTAATTTGATATGGGCTGCTATGAATAATGTGCCCAAGGAAGTGCTGCCTTAGAGATGGAGCGTTCAAAAAGCTCACTGGGACAAATTTAAACACAGGAGGAAAAAAGGGAGTTGAAAAAGAAGAGGATGAGGAGGAGAAGAAGGAAAAAGACAATTAGGAAAGAAAAGGGGGAAGAAAGGGAAGAGGAAGGGGGAAAAAGAGGAAGAGAAAAAAGAAGAGGAGGAAGAAGAGAAAAAAAGGGACAGGAGGAGGAGGAGGAGGATGAAGAATAGTAAGAGGAAGAAGAAGAGGAGGGTGTGGAGGAAGAGGAAGAGGAGGAGGAGGAAGAAGAAGAGGAAAAAGAAGACGAGGAGGAGGAGGTGGAAAAAACCAAGAGGCAGAAGAGGAAGAGGAGAAGGTAAAAGAGGAAGAGAAAAGAGGTAGAGGAGGAGGAGGAGGAAGAAGAAAAGTAAGAGAAAGCAGAAGAGGACAAAGGGAGGGAGGAGGAAGAAGAGGTGGAAGAAGGAGAAGAAGAGGGGGAGGAGGAGGAGGAGGTGGAAAAAAGAGCAAGAGGCAGAAGAGGAAGAAGAGGAGGAAAAAGAGGAAGAGAGAAAAGAGGTGGAGGAGGAAGAAGAAAAGTAATGGGAAGCAGAAGAGGACAAAGAGAGGGAGGAGGAAGAAGAGGAGGAAGAAAGGTAAAGAAAGAGAGGAGGAAGAGAAGAAGAAAGAAGATGAACAGAAACTGAGCTAGTTTCGTGTAACATGTTTAAACAATTGGGAAAGAATATAACAGTAAACAATATATTTTATTATACTTTTTTAGATATTTTTAAAATGCAAAAACTTATCGTACACAATAAAGTTTTTCAGTTTACGCCCTGAACACCATTTTCCATTTTCAGATGTAGTGCAGTGATGACTGACGTATACTGACAGGGTCAGTTTGCTGTTGAGCGCTGTGTGTGAGTCTGGAATGATAAGGCTGGAATCCTGGGAACGTATTGATCGCCAGCCAATGTTCAACACACAGATCACGTCACTGTGTTTATTTTATTGCTGTTAGCATTACTGATAGAAGACATCTCAACAGTGTACACAACTCAGCTCAACTAAAAAGGGTGAGGACTGAAATAATGTCATTGTGCCTCACAAAACGATAATTGCACATATTAACAAAACATATTTGATGTGTTCACAGTACAAAATAATTGGTTCCCAAACCTGGGCATCCACAAAGGCTCGCAGTGGTGGGACGTACAAGGACAGCCAAAAACGAGGACAAACGTTGAAGTAGCGCCTTGATGGCATTACTGTCAGATTTATTTTGACCATATCATGTAACTACAGTTAACAACTGCGTAATAACTCTCACACCTGTAGAGATATTAATGCTGGTGTCTCTTGAAAGTAAGACAACAAAAACCCGAAAAGCTACTTCCTGGTAGCTTTTGTCTGGAACTAGAGGGGCAGGAATGTGTCAGGCTGGAAGAGGACTGGAACAACCAGGCTGGTCTCATTTGTTTACAGTGATTAAACCAAATTAATACAGAAAACACACTTATTTTCAGGATCATTTCAAGAATCACATGGACAAAGTTTTGCGTTGGGCTGGCGCCATTAAAACCCTTTATCCTCACAGTATAAAATCATGTACAGTACAGGCCAAAAGTTTGGACACACCTTCTCATTCAATGTGTTTTCTTTATTTTCATGACTATTTACATTGTAGATTCTCACTGAAGGCATCAAAACTATGAATGAACACATGTGGAGTTATGTACTTAACAAAAAAAGGTGAAATAACTGAAAACATGTTTTATATTCTAGTTTCTTCAAAATAGCCACCCTTTGCTCTGATTACTGCTTTGCACACTCTGTATGTAAAATTAAAATATGTATTTGATCTTTGCATTTAAATGTGCTGAACAGTTGTATCCCCTTTTATTAAAATGTGCAGTAAGATTGTATTCAATTAAGCATTTTATTAAACTAACATTGTCTGTTTCCAGTGGGGAGGTTAACTGGCAGTGGCACAACATTTTTGGGAACAAGTAAAAGGAAGACCAGACATTACTACCAACAATTTCCCAAAGCACATCATAGACTGCTGGATCTTTTAAATGTGCTCTCTCTCACATCCAGGCAGCCCTCAGTCTCACTTTATTTCTGTAGAACATGAAAATCAACTTGCAGACACTTGAAAAATCAAATGAATCACAGTGAACATCATGTCTGATTGTTGTTGTACAGGTCAGCTGTTGCGTGGTACTGCAGTGCTGAGCCTCATCTCCATCTGCACCTTTAACTGCATTAAAGGTCCAGTGTGTAGGATTTAGGGGGATATACTGGGAGAAATGTTAACAGCATGTAGTTTCTTTAGTGTATAAACACCTGAAATAAAAATCACTGGGTCTCATTCATGAAATGTTAGCAAATCTGTAAGTAGGTTTTCACATTAAAAACCTTGGTTCTAAAAAGTAACACTAAATTCACGAATGCCATGGAAAACTTGTATGTGTATGTTCATGAATGCCAATCAATTGTAAACTGACAGCATGCTCCCTCTAGTCAGCAAATAGCATACATCCCAGCCCATAAATAGCCAGTGACCACCATATATGGAGGTGATGATTACTATAGATAGGTGCATCCTGTTGACCTGCGAACATGGAGCCAACAAAGAAAGAGAGAGAGGAAGAAAAACTTTTCCGACAAGTGAAGTTATTTTGGGTAAAGTGGGGTTGAGAGACACATTTTATTTTTTTCTGTTAGTAGTAGTATGACAGGGATAGGTAGATCAAAGGCCTGGAAGGAGCTAACATCTGTCCTCTGTTTTAAGAACCATCCAAAAATTTAAAAGAAAACGGTTCGATATGAAACATAATGCAAAAAAACGCATTATTACACGCACACACAAAAAAATCCAACAGCTGCAGATGAGTGCTTTGCTTGCATCATCAGAGAGACATCTCTGTCAGGGGAGAGAGCGACATGCCTCCACTGGAGCAGTCAGCACCAGACTCTAGTGTTAAATTAACAGTTCTCTCTCCTAAATGCCAAAATACATGTAAATGTTCTTCTGCGAACAGTTTACACACAAATTCATTCTGCCCAAGTTTCATGAATGAGACCCAATGTGTTTTTGTCATCATAGAATATGCTGTTTATATCTACACAGGGAGCAGGTCTACGTTTATGGAGATCACCATGTTGCCCCACCATGTTTCTACAGTGGCCCAGAAGACACAAACCAGTGTCTCTAGATAGGGCCATTTGTGTTATCCCGTTTTCGCGTCACCTACCATAGTTAGAAGCCCATCTGCAATGAGCAGTGTCAGAAAAACACTAATTCATTATGTGAAACTGATTTATTTAGTGTTTTTACCTGTTTAAATCACCAGGTCTGTTTGTTTTGGAGAGAAGGAGACCTCTGTGGATAATTCAGCTCCCAGTAAAAACCTCCTGAACAATGAACAGTGAAGGAATTCTAACCAAGAGAAGTTGCAGCTGGTTGCAGTCTGCATTCCTCACCAGCCCTTTATAAACAGAGATCACACTTCAGGGCAGCTACCAAGTCCCCTCTTTATGCCACCTTTGCATTTTTACACAGAACCAACAATGTCAGCATCGTGCTGCTCCAGAGTGATTTTACACGGCATGCTGACATCGTGAAAGCAAAGGAGGCGTGATGGGCGTGACATGTTACATGCTACACTCCACTAAATCCCACTAAATCCTACACACCTGACCTTTAAATGAAAGCAGTGACTGCCTGGAACAATACATTCAAAACTTCAAAAAAAGAACTTAACTTTAGTAATCGTCCAGTAGAAATGTAAAGGACACATGATTTGTAACTAATGAAAAACACTGGTTTGGTCTTTTAACTGAAAGCTAATGGTCTTACAGTGTTTCATCATATATCAAAGATACAAAACATGTGGAAGTATAAAAGACAGAATTAGTAAATATAGTAACTGTTCCACACTTCGTATTGTTGTTGTATCCCTATTTAAGAATGAAGAAATGGCAACGATGTGCCTCTGTGTGTGTGAATGAAACACTACTATCATTAACAGTCCTGTCCCCCACCGTCTCCTCTGTCATCAGCCCAGTCCCAGCCCTCCTCTGGCTTGCGGTCCGCAGCCTGTGGCAGATTGCTGGTGCGTCCTCAGGTTGCAGATCCAAGCGAACCTCTTCCCACACTGGTCACAGCTGAAGGGTTTCTCCCCGGTGTGAACTCTCTGGTGCTTCTTAAGGTTCCCGGCCTCTGAGAAGCGTTTTCCACAGGTGTCGCAGCGGAAAGGTTTCTCCCCCGTGTGGACTCTTTCATGGGACTCCAGATTGGACAGGCCGGAGAAAGCCTTGCCACAGGTTCTGCAGATGTAGCTCTTTCTGCGGCGCTCGCTGGGTATGATGCTTGCAGCTTGGCTTTCATTGTGACGAGCCTGAAGGCTGGCTCGATGCTGTGCGGCAAGTGCAACGCTGCGAAACGCTGCTGTGGATCCCCTGACAGAGGGAGTCACTGTGGAGCTCATAGTCCTGCTGGTTGAGCTGATACTAGAGAGAGTTGTTTTATCACCACTGTGAGTGTTACTGACAGCAGCTGTGGTGGAGGACAGTGTGGAGGTCTGTACGGAGGGAATGCTGTGGTGCTGCTGCAGCAGCTGAGCCTGTGCGTTTCTTATCATGACTGGTTTTCTGCTCCATGGAGGCTGAGAAAATGGAGCCTGCATCCTCAGAGGCATAGACCCAGATGGTTCCGCTGACAGGGCTAGGAGTAGAAAACAACAGAGCATCAGCACACAGTCTTTACCTCATTTGGAGCCAGAGTTTACGTGGCAGCGATAGTAGCAGTATTGAGCTCGCCGACCTACATTCACAAGGCGCACCATTGATTGTGTGCACTTGATTGGCAAACAGTCCCCCAATCCCAAATGGATCCCTTACAGACTCGTTGACTCAAGCCCTAAGCCCTTACAGACCTGGGACCAATTCCTTTTCTCCCCCTTAGCCCTTGTCTTGGCCCTTCCCCTTGGTTTTGCGTGTTCACGTGAGGGGAAGTGGTGTCCGAATTCTCCATCAGGTTAGCTCTTTACCTGACGGAGAATTGGGACACCACTTCCTAAGGGATCCATTTGGGATTGGGGTCAATCATGACATCACAACCCCTTTTCATAGAATCATATTACTAATTAAAACCAAGTTTATCAGAAAAATTAATACTTAAACAAAAAACAGTGCTTTAAGTACTTCCTAAAATGACAGATACCATCTTGGAGAAAAATTGACATGTACTTTGATTTTTTTAGGTTGGCCCATGTACAAGGTCTTAAGATGGGAAATTGACGATACAGGATTTCCCTGATTATCAATCCCTGCTCCCATTTACACAGGACCCCATGCAGGAAATGTTCCTGAACCTTTCGGGGATAGACTGCATGTGTGAAGGGAGTTCCAGTGAGGATGTGATCTGAGGAAGCATCAAATTTTAAGTAATTAGAAATGTTTCCGTTTCTCGCCCTTGAAAGTCCCCAATTATATGATCCTTATTCATGCTTGTTGTTGTTGTTGTTCTAACAGTTTGCAGCACCTGACATTTCTGCACAACAAACCAAGAACCACAAAAACAGCGACACAGTAAGCCTCTACAAAGGAAAGGAAACGATGTCTTACCTTGTGACACAGATGGCTGGATCTGAATGGAGGAGCAACTCTGCCCTCCACTCATCCTCACTGCTGAGGAAACTGAGCCTTGTGGTGCCTGAAGCACAGGTTGAGGTTGTGCTTCAGTTTCTACAATAATAACTCCATCCTGGTCACACTCTGCTGAGTCGTCAGTGGTGAAAGGACATGAAGGGCCACCGCGGGCTGATACAGACTCATTATCAGGGGCCCAGCGGTTGAAGAATGTCTCCAGTTCAAACAGAGAGTATTCAGAGTTGAGAGGGTTGTTGGTACTGGATCTCTGCTGTTGTTGTGTTTTGGGATTGGCTGGTGTGTTGGTGTCTGGTACTCTCAGCTGGACTGCCACTACACTGCTGGGGTCTAGGGATATCACAGGCGTCGACTGGGGTGCTGCAGACTGGAGGGGAGGAGGGGCGGGGAGCATGAGCAGGAGAGAGGTGCATTAAGACCAGATGTTAACTTTAATCTAATCAGGGTACAGCACTGCATCTAAACAAACAGGCGGACATTTTGGGAATCATGTTTTTTCACTTTCTTTCAGATATTTAGATGCAAAAAACAAATACTCTGTCACTGTCTGAAGAAAGAAAAACGAGGCAAGTGCACACACCCCCTTCTACACCCATGAAGCTGAGGTGGAGCAGGTGAACAGTTTTAGGTTCCTGGGAATCAGCATCACAGAGAACCTGTCATGGTCACTGTAAATCTCCATCCTGGTAGAAAGCTCAGAAACAGCTGTATTTCTTATGGATACTTGAGAAGGCAAAAATGTAGACGTGGGTCAGCAGTGGGTGAGAACAAAAATCTGTTTTTAATTTTTCAGAACAAAACAAATAAAAAATATGTGCAGTAAGTAACTGTGTACTATTTTGGCATCTAGATCACCATTATCAAGCTGCCATTCCTTTTATTTTGAAAGTCAATCACACAAGTCGAATCCTTGACTCCATCGTCACCAACGTGGAGGATTCCAGAGATAAAACTTTGCAGCCCCAGGATGAGCTATCAGCCTACATCGAGGTTTTATGGTACTGGAAGGAGCGTGCTAAAATGTTTTCTAAGCTGGCAGTGACTGCGCAGAATGTGAAGAATGAAGAACCCAGCTTAATGTGATAAAAGTAGCCTGTGTGCTACAGTCACTCACATTACATCACATAATCATAATCATCAGTGCAGGTTGGGACGCAGGACTTTAATAATGGGTGTGGACAGGTGCAGCTTTGACTTAGACATAATGACAGGTAACTGGTCAGTTCTGGTACTGAGCTTTACAGGTATGGGTGGGTGTGGCTTTTCAAAAATGAGCCCATGCAGGACTCTGTAGAGAGGTATCTCTCTGCTCTCAAACATACTAAATAAGTGACATAGAAGTTTTTGTCAGGCTGGTTTTCCCTTCTGCACTACCCTCATTCCCACTAAACCAAAGTCTCCCTAGGTATACACTATATGTATATAAGGCTTATATCAGTAACTGTATACATTGTTTTATTTTATTTCATTTTATTCAATTTGAATACTAGTCTAAATGTTCTGAGTGTGCATGGTGTGAAAGGGTTCGTAGGTGCCGACAGGTGTATATTTTCCCTTTGGACAGAATTAGGCTCACTGAACATCTCACCCTGAAAGAAAGACAGTAAGTGTATTTTTTTCAAAATGTTGAAGTATTCCCATATGCTGTAATACTTTGACAGTGGGATGGGATTTATGAGGTGGGAACCTAGTGATACCTACATCTATTGGTCTACAGGTCCTTAGGCGGCCATTTTGAACTTGACTGAATTCAGTGTACGTCTGCATATGGTCTAACAAAGGCTGTTACAGCCCTGTGCTGTGTCTCAAAACGCGTACTTCTACGTTAGTACACTTCCATGTAGTATACTATGTGCACTATGTACTCATTGGCTTAGTGCGCGAATTTCGATAGGGTAGTGTTTGCTCAAACCAAACACGGCTGTTGTGCACTCGGAAATGACGACCATAAATTAGCTAGTTAGCATTAGCATTCACGTTACTGTTTGCAGTAGCAAATCATTACAGACTGTTAAATTAAATTAACCCAATAAACATACTGCTGGCTTATACCCGACAACAGTATATGGTGCTTGGTGCAAAAACACATGTATAACGACAATGCAGTGACGTTCACGGTCGCACAGTCCTCGACCGCCATATCCTCAAAAGTGGTCCCTCCCCTTCAGCTACGTAGCCAAGATGGCGACCATTGAGGGCGAGAAGTGTCCATAGTTCCACACTCAACTTCTTGACTGTTTTGAGTGCACCATCCGGGTACTCATAGTGCACTGCATTTTTCCATACTTCTCAGTGTGAACGCACTTATGCACTCAAAATATTAAGTGTAAGTACAGAAGTATGCAATTTGAGACACAGCACTAGTTTATGACACCGTTTGTTCTTAAAGAGACAGTTCACCCCATAATAAAAAATACATATCCCTCCTCCTACTTGCAGTGCTATTTATCACGCTTGATTGTTCTGGTGTGAGTTGCAGAGTGCTGGAGATATCGGCAGTAGAGATGTTTCCAAACCACACCAACCGACCATGTCACTGAGCAGAAGGAAGTGTGCATCTACTGCTAGCTCACCTAGCACCACTGAGCTAGCTAACGTTACAGTTCAGCTGAGGAGGATGCCATTAATGTTTACATATCGCACTGTCACAAGCATGAGCCTCTCATCCATGAGAGAGACACTTCCTTCTGCGCAGTGATATGGTTTACTGGTTTAGTTGAAAGAAAATAGTTCCTACATGACACTGCTCACAACAAGGTCTGTGGATTAAACTGAGTAACCGGGTCATGATTTCTGGAAAAAGACATAGCTGTTGAGTTTTTCAAATGTAATATTTTGGCGCTTTGAGCACCACAAACTGAGTGCCATCTAGTTCCATTATAATGGAAAGAAGGCAGACATTTCTACAGCCTTTTTTTGAGCACTACAGGTAAAAGGAAAAACATGTCATTTTGATTTTGGGGTGAACTGTCCCTTTTTAAATGTTCTGGACATCTTTATCACTGAATGACTAACATTTAATCTGCACAAACAGACATCACCTATTAAAGTCTTTAACAACCCTAGACACAATTTAAAAATATATCGTATAAATCTAGTGGGTGGTACATTACAGCCCACAATACTGGCTGAAGGTTTGCCCTGGGGGAGGCAGTGTAGCTTGTGGAGGGGTAGTCCTGAGAAAAGCATGTGTGTGCTTCAGAAATTTGGAGCAATCTAACTCTACATGGAGGCATATAGACCTTCAGGGTATCAGTAAATATAGATATTGTGAATTAGAACAATGTACTGTATGAGTTATATATTTCATGATAATATTGTGTCACAATTTTGTAATGTATGATTTATAATGAAAACACAAATTTGTATGTTGAGATTTTATAAAGTTTTAATGATTTACATTGCAAACTGTGGACACTGAGCAGGATTTTACAAAATTGTGACACAATAGAAAAAGCTAGGGTTACATTTACATTACATGTTTATGCTACAATGTCTTGTATTTTTACATAATAATCACACTTTAAAATGACACATTCCTCAAGAGGAGGATTATTCTTTTAGATTTAAAAAAGAAAAAAATATATATATTGTTTCTCTATTATGAGGACAAACAAAATGCATTTCCACGGTAAGAACATGATATTCACATATACTTCTGGCTGAACATTTCTCTGAACAGTGTTCAAACTCACCACTCTGTCCTGTATTGACAGATATAACTCATTATCTTAGTGACTGGGTTGTTGTTGTTGTTTGGCTTGTTTTGTAGGTTTGTATCTATGACAACCATCAAGTAATTCAAATACAGCCATGGCCCTTAACCCTTAAATTACACTGAACAAGTGTTAGTGAGCACCTCTCATTTTCCAAGATAATCCATCCACCTGACAGGTGTGGCATATTAAGATCCTGATTAAACAGCATCATTACTACACAAGTGTGCCTTGGGATGGTCACAATAAAAGGATACTCTAAAATGTGCAGTTTTATCACTCAATACAATGCCACAGACGTCCCAAGTTTTGAGGGAGCATGTCATTGGCATGCTGACCACAGGAATGTCTTCCAGAGCTGTTGCCTGCGAACTGAATGTTCATTTCACCATCATAAGACATCTTATGATCTCTTTGGCAGTACATCCAACCAGCCTCAAAACCACAGACCACCGCGCTAAGGCTCAGGAGGCAGAGTGGGTCATCCACTAATTGGAAGATTGGTGGTTTGATCGCCGGCTTCTCCAGTCCGCATGTCAAAGCATCCTTGGCCAAACTGCTCCCAGTGGCTGTTCCATTGGTATTTCAGTGTGTGTAAGTGGAATAGCAGGTGGCACCTTATATGGTAGCCATGGCCACCAGCGTAAAAGCACTTTGAGTGGTTGAAGACTAGGAAGTCAGTATACAAGTGCAGGTCCATCCACAACTACATGTAGCCACAGCAGCTCAGGACTTCCACATCCAGCGTCTTCACCTGCAAGATCGTCTGAGACCAGCTACCTTAACAGCTGAGAGCAAAAATTGGTTGGCACAAACCATAAGAAACTGTCTTAGGGAAACTCATCTGCATGCTCATCTTCCTCACCAGGGTCTTGATCTGACAGCAGTTGGTTATTGTAACCCACTTGTGCAGTTGTGAGGTTGGTTGGATGTACTGCCAATTAGTTGGAAACAACACTAGAAATGTCTAATGGTAGTGAGATGAGCAATCAGGTCACAGGCAACACCTCTGGTGAACATACCTGCAGTCAGCATGTCAATGGCACGCTCCCTTAAAACTCAGACTGCACATTTTAAAATGGTCTCTTATTGTGACCATCCAAAGGCAAACCTGTGCATTTTGCTATGCCACACCTGCGAGGTGGATGGGTTATCTTGGAAAATAAGAAGGGCTCACTAACACTGATTTTTACAAATGTGTGACCAAAATTTGACAGACATATATCTATCAAGTGCATGAAAACAGGCGTAGACCTTAAACCTGTGGAATATGGAAGTAAATACAAAAAAAGTTGTGTTTCCATTTTTGTTCAGTGTACTTTAAATTCTTGAGTAATGGAACATGCCTTTTTTTGAGCTCCACTTCAGAGAGGTCCTTGTCTTTTTCTGCAGCAGGTCTTCATTTCTAATTTCCCAGGTTTTATCAGTATATTATCATATATATCATATACATCAACAGGGTAATGTCATTCTCAGTTTCTCTTTCCTGACACAAAAACAATTTGATTCACAAATGATTTCCAATTGCTACAATTTGAAATATAGAGATATTTATGTTATTTGCCACTGTAAAAAGATGGTTGCTCTATAAACTGCAGAGTTTTGACTAATGTCTGAGGCAAGAAGATAAATTCCCTTTATGATATTCTGGGTCTAGCACAAAGAGTTAGATGTGGTCAGTATCTTGCTGTTGTCTGTGAATTTCAATAGTGATTGATTTTGAAATATGAGGATTATTATTTATGACTCTTTAGGGGATTCTGAGACATAATAACAGAGCATGTTTAGGTCTTTTTCTAAAATATCGCTGACTGCCAGCCTATGTTTGTGGGTGGTGTCTCTTTTGGTGTTTTTTCAGGTTGCTAGGGTCTGAGAACCTCTCAGGACAGAGTGAGCACTGGTACGGTCTCTCCCCAGTGTGGATGTTCCTGTGGATCTTCAGGTTCCAGAACTGGGAAAATTTTTTGCCACAGATGCTGCAGCCATATGGCCTCTCTCCTGTGTGAGTCCTGAGGTGGGACTCTAAATTTGCTGGGGAGCTGAACCCTTTACTGCAGAACCTACAGATGCAAACCCGCTTTTTGGGGATTTTCTGCTGCATATCGGCACTGCTATAACTGCCCTGACCTCGACTTTGACCTGGCTCCAGGAACTGTTGGGTCCCCTGTATCTGACCTAAAACATGAGTGGGGCTGGACTCCTCTGAAAGATCGATAACAGGAGCCTGCGGCTGAAAGGACACAGAGGTGTGGAAGCCTCTAGAGCTTTCAACAGCCAGTCCTCTCCCAGAGCTACCAGGCTCTGCTCCAATGACTGCGGTGGGCAGGAATGAGAGGGGGGCGCAATGTGAGGACGGCCCTGGGAGGCTGTCTTCATGACAAAAACTATCCCCCCCATTAGTCCACAGCGAAGAACGGCCATAGCTGACCTCTGAGAAGCCACGCCCAGACTCCTGCAGGTCAGACAGCTGATTGGTGGAAGTCTGTGTGATTTCATCAAATGGTAGAACTGCTCTGTAGTCATCGGTGCTCGACTCCACCAACCCTGGATACAAAGAGAAAGAGAGGTTTTCTCTGTCAGACTGTGTATCTGCTGGACAGGATTAAATAAACAGGTCTGCAGTGGTATTTGGCTAGGTGGTGTGTGTCAAGTGGCATCCACAGGAATGCCAGGACCCAAGGTTTCATGGCAGAATGTTGTTGCATTGATATGAGATGGGGTCCACAGATCCAACAGGGTGATGTCAGAGAAGTATGCTTATCAATACCTCATAGTGTGATCACTGCTTCACATGTGAGGTGGATACGTCCACTCACCCTCTTGTATGCTGAGGCCTGTCTGGCTCTGAGTTCCCGTAGCCGGCTCTACCTCCTCTACCTTCACCAGCACCACATCTGGCTCCTCCTCTTTCTGCATACACAACAAGGAGAGGAAATGTCTGATGTCACTGCATGGCAGACACACAACATATGATACAGAATGTGTACAGTGTGAGATGCACTGAAAACAAGCAACTACTGTAGTCTGTCACTAGTAGAATGACAGTTGTCTACAGTGGTCATACACATTATACACAACAACATGATGAGCAGTGAAGGGCGGGAAAGGCATTCAGAGGAACCATATATTATTCCTTTGCAATATTCAATGTTTTCGTCAATCATTTAATTTTTCTTCTTGTGTTGTCCAGCAAAAAGTTCACTGTTGTATACTAAGAAGATTTGAGTTTAAGGTCCAATGTGTGGGATTTAGGGGGATACATTGGAAGAAATGGAATATAATATCATAATTGTATTTTCTTTGGTGTATAATCACCTGAAAATAAGAGTCAGTGTGTTTTCGTTACCATTAAATCAGCCATTTATATCTACATAGGGAGTGGGTCCTTGTTTTTGGAGATCACCATGTTGCAGCCCAGAACAGACAAACCAAACACTGGCTCTAAACAGGGCCATTCACATTTTCACATCGGCCACCGTAGTTAGCAACCTCTCCATGCTAAGCAGTGCCAAAAAAAAACATTTACTATCTAAAATGAATAAAATTATTCAGGGTTTTTAGCCATTTTAATAATTGGGCCATTTGTTTTGAAGAGAAGAGACCTCTGCAGATTACTAGGCCCCTCTTAAAAACCTCCCAAACATCTGGATCTCAAGTTATCAGAGAAAAAAAGGTGAGCACACATTAGCAGGTGCTAGGCTCACAGCCTATCTCCCACATACCAAACAGCTTCAGAGAAACACATATTTTGTAATGTGAGACTGCTTTATTCAGTGTTTTTACTAGTTTTTACTGTTACCACAATTAAAACACTCACTGTGCTTTCAAATGCACCTTTTGTCAAATATAAATCCCGTTTGTTGCTTTTTATATACACCTATGTTTCCACCTACTTGTGCATAATAGTTCATTTTACCTGCCTTTGCTACAATGTTTATAGCTTCATGTCGAATTTTTTCTTAATTCTTTCATCCTGTTATTTGTTCTTGAACTTTGTGCAAGTACATTGAGAGCAACTTAAAACAAAAGTTTTAGAAATTCTTCACTTTGCATCCACTATGCTCTGCTGAATTACTGATCAATCTTTTATCAAAGCAGCAATGAAAATCTGATTTCATCGATTCAAAGTTCTGCCATCTTCATTCTTAAAAACAAGAATTGTGAAATAAGACTTTCCACAGGTTTAAAAAGCGCATTTTATTCCATAAAAGAAATGTTGCATACAAAATGTAAAATATTTCATATATAAAACACATGAAACGTCTGACATTTAGAATGACAACGCTCTAAAACATCTACTGGGAATACATGGATACCGTTCTTGGACCTGTACTGGTCAAGACTAAAATCCAACACATTTACTTTTTATTTATTCCAACCATACAACCAATGAAAACAACACAATGTGTAACATACAGATCAGCAGACTACCCACAATTTAGGCCCACTCAAAGGCAGTTCTGGATTTCACCTTAGGGTGGGCCTAGCCTCTTAAACAAGAACGCAAGGTATCCTGTTCAAAGCACAAGAAAAACTGTCAGTGCCGGAAACGGACAGATTTTACTGGGGGACTCCAACAGTCAGAGAGATAAGCTGCAAGGAGACTCTGTGGGTTCTTCCCCAGATAGTTTTTATATAGTTCAGCTGCCAAATACACAATTTTCAAGCAATTTGAAAGACAAAATATCTTGAGGTAAGACCACAGTAAGGCCTTTATACCTTTATTCCCACTAACTCAAGTTATCAATACCTAAAAAGTATTTATTCATGCTCTACTTATAAGTACAGTCATGCATCTTTATGCAGTTACCAGGTTATTCATCTGTGCATAATAATGTAAAGTCTCTCAACATCACAGATCCTTTAACCTGCTGTGCCCTGCTGACGGTGCATTCAACAAACAGAAAACACAATTAGAAATGATCAACAAAATCATACACATACAATGATTATCTCTTAATGACTATTTATTTTATGTCAAATACAATGTATACACTCTTCACAACAATTCTATTAACTGCTGCAATGATTTCAACATTTCAAAAAATTGTTGCAGCCAGTCAGCCTAACCCATTGTCCCTTTTGTCTTTTGTTTCACCTGCAAAACAGTTGAACTGCCATCACTGGGCTCACTGGACTGTCTTATGTGTTTTACCTCAAATTAGTGAAGAAAACCTTTTTCTGGCATGCCTCCAGTGATGAAGAATCCAAAAACAGCACACACTGTTGATGAATCTAAGTCAGTGGGGACCATGTTTAACAACAGCAAAACTGTATCAAAACATAAGTTTACAAACTCATCTCATGCAGTATAATCCAAATTTCATCAGTGCATCCCAAACACACTGCATTACCACGCAGTCAGCCCTTTCTGATTGGGACTATAAGTGAAAACTTTCACTTTCAGTCCCAATCAGACAAAACTGAAGGCAAAGTAGTGCAATGTCATTGGGAAGCACTGATGAGATTTGGATTATACTGCATGAGCCGAGTTTGTAAATGTATGTTGATACAGTTTTGCTGTTGTTAAATGACATCTACAATGACTTAGATTCATCAACAATATATTTTTTGATTCTTCGTTTACTGGAAGCATGTGAGCAAAACGTTTCCTTTGGGAATTCGACTCGACACAATGTGAGTAACTGATGTACAAACGGTTAATTGGGGAGTAAGATATTCCTCTTAGGTTTTTTTTTTCTTTTCGATTGTCCATCTTGTTCGACTCTATAAATGACACAGGAAAAGGACGTGGTCCAGGTAAAATTAGAATGAATAGGACCAAAAGTAATTGGCTAGGACACAGGCTGAAAGGTGTAATAACCTACTGCAGTGGGTTGGCAGCCCACTCGCTGGTGTATTGTATCAACCCCAATTGTCAAGCAGCACATCAAGAAGTCTCCAAACACGTTGTTGGTTTGAGTCTGCACATGAGATTTGTTGAGTTTTTTAGGTGCTTTTGCGAAATGAGGCCCAGGAGGAGGCAGAGTATCCACTCCAGCAGAAAGGATGGTAAATGTGTGTGCAGTTTATGATACTATTTAAAATGTCATCAATGACATTTAAAATATACACCAATCAGCTACAACATTAAAACCAATGACAGATGAAGTCAATAACATTGATTATCTCATAAAAATGCAATGTTCTGCAGGGCTATAGCGCTCCCCAGTGCCATGCCGCATGGCAAAAACTGTCCAGGATCGACCCAGATGACCATGACAAAGAGCTCAAGGTGTTGACCTGCACTCCAAGTTTGCCAAAACCCAATCTGATCAAGCATTTGTGGGACATGCTGGTACCCCAACAGGACTCAAAGGAGCTGCCGCCAACACACAAATGCCAGACACCACAGGACACCCCCCTTGAGGTCCTGTGTCCATGCTGCAACAGGTCAGAGCCAAGTCTGAGCCAAGGAGTTCTCATCGGGGATCAAGGGTACCGCTGGGGTACCCGAATGTCCCATGAACGGTCAATCGGATTGGGATCTGGAGAAGGTAGAGGCCAAGTTGACGCCTTGAGCTCTTTGTCACATTCCTCAGGCCATTCCTGAACAGATTTGCTGTATGTCATGGCGCACTGCCCTGCCACATAAGTGCCAGGACCCAAGATTTTCCAGCAAAACATTTTGTAAGGACTGTAACAAGATGATTGATGCTATACACTTCACCTGTCAGTGGTTTAAATGTTGTAGCTGATCAGTGTACATGCTACTAAAAATGTGCCCCAACTTTTCAATCTGAAAGCTTTACTTGATCATGTTGTTGATCATGTTGTTGTACAGAGAAACACTTTGAAGAAGACTGATAAATTAATCACAACTACGTTCAACTTGTCCAAAAGCTGCTACACTTAAGCACATGCTTAAGGATTAGTAACATGTTTTTCTTATTTCTCTCAAAGTCACATTTGAAAACTGTTTTTTTTTTTTTTCATTAAGAAATGTGTTTACAAAGTTCTTAAGAAGGTCCTGTACACAAATTATGTTCATTTTTTTGAGCAGTCTTTCTTTACTGCCAGCATAGAGTCTTTGCTGGATGATTACAACCTATGGTGGACTTTCAGTAAGAGATAGTTTAGGTCTGTTCCTGGTTCCAGGTCTCCTCTTCAGTAGCAATTTCAGGGTGGCTCTTTTGCTGGTGAGTTTTCAGGTTCCTTATCCAGGCGAATCCTCGGCCACACATCCCACAGCTGTATGGTTTCTCTCCAGTGTGAACTCTCTGGTGTTTCCTCAGGTTTCCAGCCTCTGAGAACATCTTCCCACATGTGGAGCAGCTGAAAGGCTTCTCCCCTGTGTGGACGCGTTGGTGAATCTCCACCTTCTTGGGACGGTTAAAAGCCTTGCCGCAGTAGCTGCAAACAAACAGTCTTTCCTTGGCGCTGGTTCGATGGGGCACTTTGCCGCTGTCACTGAAGGGCTGGGACAGGGGGAAAGTAGTGCCGTAACGAAGCCAGCCGTTAATGCTGGAAGAGGTTGATGGGAAATCAGCCGCCGCCATCGAGTATGAACAAGACGGTGTCACTTCTTCCACTTCAACCCCAGAGTGCTCATCCAAAAACTCCTCAACCAATGCGTTAGCGCTTTTATTGTTGTCACACAACACGTCAAACTGTGAGTCATTGCTGCCGTCATCAATATACTGGTGTGAGTTTATTGTTTCCTGCAGTGAGTCTCTGACCTCAACAGAGGCACTGAGTTCACATTTAAGGAGAGGAGAGGAGTCACTGACCTCCACTCCTCTGCTGCTGCTGTTGCTGCTGCTGCTTCCGGTATGCCTCGTCCTGCTGCTCTGGATCTGGGACCGGGACTGACTGGTGGTGGACTGGGTGTCTTGCTGTTCAATGGTGGGTCTCTGTCCTGCAGGTCCACGAGGGACACACTCCACCACTCCTTTAGACAGACCATGTGGGGCAAAGTATAAAGAAATATTTAACAGTTAATACTTTGGTCTTTTGATACAGACTAAATTTCTTACACACAAAATATTCATGCCTCATATGGTACTGGTCTGCAACTAACAAGATTTTTAATGATTAATCAATTAATCATCATTATTCAATCATGGATATTTATCACCACTCATTTACAGATCACGTGATTAATTCATCATTAAGAACATTTCAAAAGCACTAATTCAACAGTACTGCTGATCTCACTTTTTCTTCCTTCCAGAAATAGTTTTCATCCACTTATTGTTTTCAGTCACGCCCATGTAGTGATAACAACAGCGAACCGCCCCTATATCAAAACATCCGTTTACAAACTCCTACACAACTCAGACAGTATAATGCAAGTCTCATTTATACAGTTGTATAATAAGTACTTCTCAAACACATTAATTTTCAGTAAAACCTTATTAAAACACATCTAACTATGAGTAGTGCATCCTGGGCATACCTGAGCATGCGGGTGCGTGCGTATGAGCTCTGCTTTAGCAACGCTCAAACCAATGTACATTCCCAGGTGTGCTAATTGGCCATGGATAAGATTGTTTGTACTGACGTGTTTTAAATTTTAAGGTTTTAGTTAGGGCTGTACCCAAATATTCGGATATTTGAATATTCGTTTCTATGGGTAGGTATTCGTTGAAATGAAAATCTGGTATTCGTGTTTTTGTTTTTTTTAACTTTTTTTTTTTAACAGGCTGTGGATCAATGCCAAGTTTAACCACTTTATCACTATTCCCTCTAACTTGTAGCTGTTTTTTCATTATCTTTTGAATTTAATATGAATTATGGAACCATTTTTGTCAATATTTGTTTCCCCCGTTTTGTACAATAAATTATTGTTTAAAGTTTCAACAAGTTTCTTTTGGAGTGCGTGACACAAGTGTGTTTTGAAGACGACCGCGGACTGTCACCTGCTCAACGCATCGGTACCTTCGGATGCCATGACAGTAATAGCCAATAATGTCAAAATATCATTTACAGACCGATTTAACAGACGATCACTGCTGTCCGACCCGCAGGTCCATTTGCGGGTCCCGCGGGTTACGGGTCGACCTTCGCATCACTACTCAGCTCAGTCTATAAAGGCTGTACACAACAGTAAGGCTATAGACATTATATTCTATTCAGGCCGGCAGAACCAGCAGTGCATCGGCTCTACAGTGCACGGCACTGCTGATTAACCATTTTATTGCAGCACAGAGGGTCTGCCAGCAACCAGTTACTTGCAGAGGCTTCCTACAACTTGTTTCAACGGTTCCAATTTAATCAGAAGACAAATTAAACAGGATGACTAGCCAATGTGAAAATCAATGGTATTCGGGACAGCCCTAGTTTTAGTAAAAATGCATGTGTACTGAGCAGACAGCTGGATAAATGAGACTTATACTGTCGGAGTTGTGTGACAGTTTGTGAATGGATGTTTTGATATTGTTTGCTATTATTAAACGTGGTCCCTGTTTACTTCAAGTCATGGACAGCGTTCACTTTTTTTTGGATTCTCACTCTAATGTGGAGGCATACAAGGAAAATTTTCCTTCAGGAAGTCTAAGTAACAAGGTGAGTAATATTTATACAAATGGTAATTTTGTATGTCAAGTATTTCCTTAATTTACCACCTATGAAACTTAACACTTCCTGTGTTTCATATTAAAAGCATATCAACAACTCAAGGGACATAATCTCTCAACTTCATAGCTTTTAAAATATTACCCTAACTGTTATTTCCCTGTTTTTATTGTTATTAATTGCATGTTTGCTGAAACATGTTTTAATGTTATTGTAGCTGCCTCTGAAGGGGTGAGAGCCACCGCTCTGAAGACATCAGAGTGGCAGAAAGAGACTGTGGGGATAAGCAGCATGCAGATCAGCATATTTTCACATCAAACTCTATGAATGAAGGATTTATTTCAATCAAATCAGATTTGGTGTTTGTTGGAGCAGTTGACCAACTAACTAGCTGACTAACAAGACTAACAGAAGCGGTTTTGGTGAGTTTTACGATGAGTTAACAAGGCGGTTAAGCTAACGTCAGTCCTAGTTTGGTAAGCGCACACTTTGAAAGACACTTTATGGCCCCACTGACGTGTCATCACCATTACAAGTAACAACAACCATCATTTTCTTTTGTACTTGTCAAACTTGTCACAGCAAACAATTCAATTTCCTTTCAATTCACTCTGTTCCTATGGCTATATGCTTTCAGTCTTATAGCACAGCACACGCAGGCTGAGTAGTACTTGCTGTTACTACTACTAATACTGTACTCACCATCATCTCCTATGAGCGGCACATCTTCCTCTGTCTCTTGGGACATGTTTGCCTCCACCTTCTCCTGCTTCACCAGCACTGCCTCTGGCTCCACCAGCTCCACGTCTGGAGACTTCACAACAAGGCAGTTTTGTCACTGTTTCAGCAAAGACCAGTTTCATATTCATGCAACTACAGTACATGCACTCAACCTGTCCCACCCCTGTGGGTTGTTCCCTGAGCACTGACTTTCAACATCCATTCGAGTCTATACATATCATAGCCACCTTGACTCCCTTTGGGGTGCTTACCTTACTCTGGATGCTGTCAGAGTGTATCCGCTTGCTGTTTCCTTCACCTGCAGCCACTCTACTAGACCACAGGGCCACATCCATCCGTCGCTCAAACACGCTGCCTACACAAAAACATGAACAACACCTGTTAAGAAACACTGACAGTGTACATTTCAATGGTCAGTACTGATAGTGTCACTACAGTGAAAGCAGAGATGAGGAGATACACTATAGAATGTGTGTGTTGACCATCACAGCATCATAATGGTGAATGGTGAACAGTGTGTAATAGTGATCCACAGCAGGAACAGGACAGCAGCTCACATTCCCACTGTCACACAAGTCATTATTCACTGTAAAGCACATGCCTTCTCTTCTTCTCTCACCAGCGTCCTCTGCTCTGTCAGCTAGATGATAGATGTCTGTACAATGACTAGCAGGATGCTAATTCAGCTGGTGCTTCTTCATCTTCTCCATCTTCTCCATCTTTTCCTGTTTTCTGATTTTTACATTTGAAAACATCAATCTGGCTAGCTTGCAGCTAGCTAGCAGAGGTAGCAGGAGGAGATTTTTCAGACTGGTGAGATGATTTCTTCATCCTGATGAGTGACTCACAGCCACACGCCACCACCATCCAAAGCCAACCACACAAAGCACCACTAACACTTGCAAAATGGACATAAGAGCCCAAATTTAGCTCAAGTTTAGCAGAGCTGACAGAGAGGCAGCTGGGGACATCTGCACCTATGTTAAAAATACAACAGCATACTGTTGCTAATCAATATTTTATGTTAACAATCAATCAATCAAATGGGCAAGAGAAAAAAACCAAGAGGGGTGACATGCACATACTAAAACATCAGAGAGAGAGAGAGAGAGAGAGAGAGAGAGAGAATTCATGAATCTAGACCTGCTGTTTCACTATTGTCAAACATGTTCTGTTTTTCATTTTATCTTGACCATAATAACAACTATAAACCTTATAACAGTCTGCATCTCTAAAGCAAGTGTGACATTTATCTTTATGCTGAACTGGGCTTATCAGCAGTGAGGCAGTACTGATCTCTGAATCATGCAACTTCATAGCCCAGAAGCATATGATGCAACATACAGTCAGTGCTCAGACTAATTCAACCCACAGCTTGACACTGTCAGAAAACTGCAATACTCTCCTCAGACAACACGCAGAGCCATGATAGGCAAAACCACACAGTACACCTGACCACTGACTGAAAACTACTGGGGTGACAACGTCTATTTAATGCAGCAAATTCATTAGATAGCATCAAAGTCCTGGGTGTTAAAAGATCTCAGTGTCTGGGGTAAACAAATATTCTGATTTAGAATCAGAGTGACTGCACAACTTGTTGATTATATGAAGCAGAGCCTCGCACCTTCTTTTAGCCATAACACAGCTGCCAACTGTGATCACAGTTTCTAAAACTATAAACAAACTGCAGTAGGGGCAGTTGTTGTTCATGCGTTTCCAGTTTGAAAACGACAATGGAGGGAAAATGAGACCAAGCCTACATATGTTAGAGGAATACCTTTTGTATATCAATTCGTCATGCTGTGTTGCGTTGAATTTGTGAGGAAAACTTTGATTTTTTTCCCCACATAGTTCCATGTAAAATGGCAAAACCATATCAAAACATCACTAAAACCCTAATATTTAAACCTGAGGTGCCGTAACTACACTCTCTTAAAAGCCAGTCTAATAGTAAGGATTTTTTTTAGTGGAAATGCATGTGTTTGGGAAGTACTGAGCATAAGACTGAATAAGTAAGACTTGGATTTATGTGAGTTTGATGTGAGGTTTTGATATAGTTTTGCCTTTGTTAAACACACTGCCCAATTAACAAATAAATCAAAATGTTTGCCATTTCCTGTGAAGGCGTGCAACAAAAAAAAGTTTTTTTTCTTAATTCAAGGTAACACAGTGTAACTAACTATTCATAAATGGTCATTTTGTGGGTAAAGTATTCCTTTAAGAGGAAGCAGGAGAGCAGCATCAAATTACTGTTATTAACTTGCTCTGATGATCTCAGTGTTGGTCACAACAACCTGAAACCACCGTCATGGCTCATTCCATATCAACATATCAAGTTACAGGTTTGGGTGGAGAACAGAAAAGAAAGCTGTATTTCACCAAAAAGTACTCCTGGTCATGCAAACAAACAGTGGCAATATCTAAGTCAGAACATCCACTTCTGAACTTTAATAACTCTTGTCTGTCCCCATCTCAGACAATTCTAACAGGTCAGCTTTTCCATCAGTGTAGGCAGTGCTCTGTAATGTCACCATCATATCAAACTGCTTAATGATTAAATTAATTATGATTTCAGTCTTCATTATACTGTTGGCTATGTTATAGTCCATTTTGCACTAATCTGCCATAGGGCTGCAATTAACAATTATTTTCATTCTCTATCAATCTACAGATTATTTTCACAATTAATGGTTTAGTCTGTAAAATGGCAAAAAAAAAATCGGAAGATGCTCGTCATGATTTCCCAGAGTCCAAAGTGTCGTCGTCAAATTGCCTCTGTTGTCCCACCAACAGTCCAAAACCCAAAGACTCTTCAATTACCATCATAACTGTCAAATAAAAGCAACTTCTCACATTTATGAAGCTGGAACTGGCAAAACTTTGACATTTTTGTTTTTTAAAAAAATGACAAACAATTATCAATTATCATAATAGTTGGCAATTATTTTTTTCAAATTACTTATTGGTGAGTCAACTAATCATTGCTGCTCTAATATGGCCAAACCTGTTTCAGGCAGGATAAGCCCAGACTTGCTTTATTGTTTTCTCATGCTAAAGTTGATTATGTCAGATAATACCTCACATAAGTTTGGAATAGATAAATAATAACTGTATACTTATCTAAAGAACTAAGATAAATATTCTGACCAAGATGACATCATCTAATTTATAACAACCCAAGCTATTACAAGCTGTAACTTTCAAATATCCTGAACACAATGAAAAAGAGACTCAACAGGTATCACACGGAGATAAAAACCTAATTAAGTATAAATATCCATATATTAAAGCTATAGTTGGTAATCCTGTTCAGAAACACTTCTTGTTATACTGGGTGAAATGGTCCTTCCATCCTGAGAGTAGTCAATACATAATGTGTAGAGAAAAAGGAACGAAAAAAAATCAGTGGCAGCTGCAGGCCTGTAAAAACTCTGACCAATCCCTGCCATTCGGTGCGAATGGAATGAACCAATCAGATGCCTTCATGTCTCATCCTGCCCGAGCCCCCCTCTGTCCCTCCCTCCCTCCTCCCTGCGTGCACTCATCACGTGTCACTGTTGCTGGAAATATTCAGCACACTTCTCAGCAGAAATACCGAGTTAGCAGGAGTTTGCTGAACAATGGCAGAGAAAATGCAGCCAAAAGTACCACCTCCAGCGTTAGTTGTAACGGCTCGCCCTGCTAAACAGGCTGAGAAAAGAAAGTCGGAGGCAGAAAATGCTGCGACGAAAAAGGCTTTGGATAAAGCGAGAGGACAAACCAGATATCAACATCGGTGCAGCTTTTGAACAGTGGAGACAACTGAGGGAGCTGAAGGGCCTGAAAAGTGATGCAGAGGTTGCTGTCTTTCTGTTGGACAGGTATTTATTTGTTTGCTTCGGGGGGATTTGTTATTTTACTCGGCTCTCCTCTGCCCTGCTGAATCCTACTGCAGGATGCGCATTCAAGTTTGTGTGGGGCCGTGGCTTTGGACGGAGCACTGACAGGAAGGGGAGGAGGGGGTGGAGCTTAGAGGAGATGCTGCTTTCAAATCTTGCTAGCTCTCCAACATTACCAACTATAGCTTTAAGTAAAACCACTGAATGCAATATATTATTCGTGTGTCAGGTCACTGTGACTTATAGTCAGGTGTATACAAGCCACATTTTGGTTAAATTTAAAGTATAACAGCTGATCAAACTAGTTTACAACACCTGTCTTTCACCCAAATACATTCTGATAATAGATAATAAGGGACTGTTCTTTATTTATCAGAGGAGGGGGGTGGCTGGGTTGTGACTTTTTGTTTTTACCCTTGCCAAAGCCACAAATATTTTTCCTTGAGCCTCCCTGAGTGACTGGCGGAACATGTATGACCCTCCCTCTACCATAAATTAGTCAGTAAATTATAGAGGTTGGGGAAAAATCGATACAGAATCGTATTCCAATAATTTGTGTGGCAATATTGTATTGTCACACAGTGCCAAGTATCGATTTTTTGATAATATAAATCATTAACTTCACAAAATACACATGAAACTTCAGGTAGCCCACTAGAATAATAGAATCAATTGCTTTTTCAGTCCACTAGATAGGCCTACATTTTGCTGCTGCAAAAAAATGGCTGACGTGAGATGAAGAGACTGAAAAATGTTATCTTACTAGATAAAACAGATGTTGACAAAGTTTTCCTTGGGGGACATAATTTACAGTTGAAAAAAGGGGATAAATCCCGATATATTTTATCACAAAACTCAGCGTATTGCAACATATTTAAAATCGTAATAACATTGTATCATGACTGCACGATATTGGATTTTTTTTGCCAATATCAGATATGCCACTATGTGGCATCTGATATTTGGCCAATAACTGATACCGATATTGACATATCCACTTTTTCCCCACCTAAATTGAGTGATCATCAAGTCTCTTCTGTAGTGGAATTAACATCATATTATGCATGCAAACTCTTATCGTGATGGCCCTCCAGCAGATGGAGACATGAAAAACAATATTTTTCGGTGTCTGTAATATTCATTCATTGTGCCAAAAAAGCATGTTGACCAATTGCAATAGTCCATTTTAAAGCCAATATCAGCCAATGTCAATATTAGCATGCATCCCTACTCTCAAGTATTGTGATAATACTGTATCATGGACCCTCTGGTGATTCCTACCCCTAGTAAATTAGTCTTGATTTTTCACTTGTTTTGTACATGCTGGTTAGTTAGTGCAAACTGTTTATTTTTGGAAAACATTTTAGATGTTAAATAAAGTTATTCTGATGACATATCACTACTTTAAGCTCAGATCTAGCTATGTTTTTTCGGACGGCAGCATTCGTTACACATGATGTGTCAAAGGACCATTTGAAAATTGATAATCCAACTGTTTTTACAGTTACTAGCTTTGATTAATGGGAAAATGTTGGTGATTTTTTTTTAGAAAACATGTCCTCCAAACCTGTAAGTTTGGAAGGCCCTCCCCATACCAAAACAAAATCATAAGTCCTTCCCTAGTATTTAAAAATGATTTGACATGCTCTCCTTTTCGCAATCCCTGATAAATAACGAACACTCCCTCATCTGTATGAATTCATTTAAAAAAAAAAAATGAAATGAAATTAATGCTGACTTTAGGCCCTAATATTATACAGTATGTTTGCTCAGCATTTATGTGTTTGAACAACTTGTCAAAATACAAGTCTAGACCTCTCTCACACTCTCTCTCTCTCTCTCTCTCTCTCTCTCTCTCTCACACACACACACACACACACACACACACCAGCTGTACAAAGAAAATGCAGTGTGTTTGAATAAAAAAAGATTGACATGGGTGGTCCACTCTGCTGCACTGTAATTGTCATCTTACCGGTGGAAGGCGAGGACTCCCGGAGCCTGTCGCTGGTGTTGATCTGCACCCTCGATCGGCTGCTGTTCATGGCGCTCTCTCTGAGCCTCCTCTCGGCGTTTCCCCGGGCCATCTTCAGCTCCAGCAGATGCAGCTTTCTCTTCAGGGCTTTGTTCTCTCTCTGGCACTGCGACATCTGCAAACTCACCACCGCATAGTCGTCGTCCACCAGCTTACAGATCTCCGCCACAGCTGCATTAGCGAGGACCTCCATGATGGAGGCCAGCTGGGTCTGAAAGGCCAGACGGCTGGACATTCTTCCTACGGTCGGTGGCTCGCTGGCTGCTCCGTCGTTCAGAAAATACCGTTTACCTCCTCTTGCAGGGTTAGGAGATGTTGGAGGTTTGGTCAGACCATTACAGCTGTAGTGGAAAGCCTACGTATTTCAATGCTGAGCAGGTAAAAGGAGGCTAAGCTATAGTAGCTTCTTCTCTGTCTGTCTGCCTCCTACCGCAAACACATGGCGTCATTTCCGGTTACAATTCTTGAGTTCGTTTTTGGTTTTTTGGTTTTTCAGGTAAACTAATGCCGTCATTACAGACTTATGTTACTTTTTGTTACTTAAGAAAGTATGATTTAAAATTATAATGTAATTTCCCATGAACTTATGTTAACATGTGTAACGTTATTTAAAATCTGCCTGTAAATACATGCACAGCTGTTATGCTGCCCCCTGGTGGTTGACTGTTGTGTGAAGTCACGACTAAATTCTACACTGGTGAGGTAACTCAACTTGATAACACTTTGCAGTTGGTTCCTAAAAGCTGTGAGATCAAGTCTCCGATGCAGATTATACATTGTTCCTCCATTTTGCTGTGTGGGTTATAAACATATGATTTCAAAGCTATTTCAAGGATTAATAATATTTTTGGCCCAGAAAGTTCTACTGATGGATCTTCATGGGTTTGTTATTTGTCTTCCTCTATAACTATAAGAAGAATGTGCGTGCTGCAGCAGCATGTTTAACCCATATACTGTTTGTTTGTGTTCCACCAAACAAACAAACAAATAAATCATCCATATAATGTCTGGCTAGCAATCCTAAATCTCTTGAACAAAATGTACACATCATCTCAAGTAAAGCCAATACAACACACGCTGTGCAAATTGTGGCTATAGCTAAGTGCTTTTATTCTGAAAGTGTCAGACTGATTATTAGTGTGTGTGTCCCTTAATCACTTTCTGGGCCATGATGAGGAGGACATTAAAGCCTTAAGAAACTAAGAATTATTTTATACCATAAAACCTTTACAAACACAAACGCTAAGCAAGTACAACTTAAGCATTAAATGTTAGATACAAAAAGCCATTAAAAGTCAATACAAGACATATGAAAGTCATCCATGGAAGAAGTCGGTCCTTTATTTAAGTAAATGTGGCAATACCACACACTCCATTGTGAGTAACAGTACTGCCTTCACATGTTTTATTTATTTTATTGTATCTGTGTTGGAGTTGACAGTACTTTATAAAGTTTAGAGTGTGACAAACCCCAAAACCAATGTTTCCATTTTTTTCAAAGTCTCTGTGGTGGCCATCTTGGACTTTCAAAATGGTGACCACCCATTACCTGTTTTTAGGTGGAGTTTAGGAGTTAACTGCAAATTTTTCAAGCCAAATAAACAAATGGGACCATTTCCACTACATTAAAAGCAGAATTTTTAAATAATTGCTGTATCTCTCGTTAATTTATCTCTTATTACTTCACTTGACAAACTAGCTACGCAGCTGGATTCAGAAAAACAACTGCAAAGATAACCTGAGTGGCAAGTGTTAACCACTGGTTGACATACTTAGCTAATGTTAAACACAATAAGTCATTTAGCAGTTGTCAGTTAAGAACTTGCTTGACAGCTAACACATAGGCACAAACAGACAGCGTCATTCAGCCAGGTGACTCTTTTTATTGATCTGACAGAGCAGAAGAGTCTTGTGAGAGAAAGGGAGGAGGTGTGTGTGCTTAATGGTAAATAAGGACTGGTGTGACAATATTAATGTGAGGTGCTATCCTATTCCTGCTCGCACTGCGCCACAGACAGAATAGAGACTCTGGATCACGGCCATACAGCACTGCCTGTGTACAGGAGGAGTGACCATATGGCTACCTTGTTGAGGATGAGATATGTAAACATGCTTCAACACATCCCCCAGTGACATGAGAGATGGAGCCAATCAGAGGATAGAGCACATTCCAGTGCACCTCTGTTGATGCCATCAATTAATACATTCACTGTAAAAAGAAATCTTAATTTCACATTATATGACTCTAAATTTTTACAGTGGTTTTCTGTTCTCTAAAAATAGTCTACAAAACTGTAAAATTACAGACATCTGTAAATTAACAATCCGCCTGTTATTTTAAGTATTATGCCACTAATGACAAACTACATTTATTTCTCTTCTTCTTTTTTACAGAAAAAATACTATATTAATTATACATTATCTTTTCTGTTTTCTTAAATTACATACAAATTTATGTAAAATAACAGTAATTATGTGTAATTAAATATGTAGCTTGGTATATAAATGGTTATGTCCATACTAATAATCTTTACACTTTTCTCTGTAATTTTAAGGTAAATCTTATTATTTTTATATTTACGTGTCATTTTACATTCAGCCTGTAATTAAATATGTAGCTTGTTATTTAAAGGTTTCTGTCCTTACTAACAACGGTTTTCTCTAAGGTAAAGATTAGTTTTATATTTATATGTACTTTTACATTCAAACTCTGTAATTTAATGTGTAACTTGTCATATAAAGTTTTATATCCATACTAACATTTCATGTAACCCTTAAGGAGGAAATGTCATTGTCATAGTTATACACACACACACACACACACACACATAAATATATAAATATATATATAAATCAATTGGCTAGCAAGTTCACAGCCAATTAAAGTCAAAGTCAAACTTTATTTATAAAGCACATTTAAAAACAACCTCAGTTAAGTCAATTAAGGTCAACTGATAATGGCCATATAAGGAGTGCATCCAAGAGAAGGAGAGGGACACACCCAGAGAGACACAGAGACAGAGCAAGAGAGAGTAAATTAGGAAATAATGGCATGCCCTTTCATCGAGGATCCTGTTGATGATGAGGCCCGCATTGTCCAGAGGGCCTTCCAACCACCACCAGCCCCAAGGGTCTTCCAGGACAGGACCAACCCATTGATACAGACGGACTTCTATCTGTGGGAGAGGTACCGGTTAAGCAGGCAGAGCATAGTGTATCTATGCAGTTTGTTGGAACCACACATTATAAAGGTCACACGCCGCAGCCAGTCTCTGACCACTGTGCAGTCAGTCTGTATTGCACTGAGGTTCTTTGCTAGCGGTACATTCCTGTATAGTGTTGGTGATACTGAGAGGCTAAGTAAGGCAACTGTTTGCAGAGAGGTAAAAGGGGTGTATTTTCTATTCATTTTGATTATTTCTAGCATCACCATGCATAGGGCTTGAGATGATCACATTAACATATGGTTATCTTTTACATTTTTGAATTAACCATGGCACAAAGCAACCACATTACAGGTAAGAGCAGTCTACCTCGCCTTGAAACAGTTTCTCAACATCTTTATCACCTTCCCTGGACAATCATGATACCCAGAGGATCAAGGAGGCATTCTATGCAATTGCAGGTACTGTATGTGACATTCAAATGCATGTGATGGAAAATAGAAAGTGGCCCACTGGGATTTACAATCAATTATGTGATAAATGCGATGATTCACATAAAATAGTTTGATTTACACTTTGGGCCCTAGGCCTTTTTAGGGTTATTTTTACTGCCTTTACTTTTAAGCTCATATCACAGTCATTATAAAGGCCACATACACATGCTATATCTTCTTTTGTTTTTTTATTAGTTTTTATATCAATGGGGGAAAAAAATCTGTGTTACTAAATTCTTAAAATTTTTACACGTATCTCACCATAGTAAGTTGGAAGCAGACATATTCTGTCATATATGAAGAAGGGAGACTCTCTGGAGTCTGGCAATATAAGAACCATGATGGTGGGACAGTCTGTCACTTCACAGCTGTCCAAAACATGTGGTTTGTGCCAGGTGGACATGATTGCCAGTATTTTTTCATTATTGCAAGAAATTCCATTGACTCATTCACAAGTCAAAAATGTGTTTTATCTGAAAGAAACATGCAATATTTACATCTAAGATAATAGAAAAATAGTAATAATATTATTCCTCACTATATGAAGTGACTAGTAACAAGATCTGTATAATGGATAGCAAACAAATTTGTCAGGTTTTATTTTGTAGACAATTGATCTGTATTTATAGCGTGATGGGATGGCAGCACAATGATGTGTTTGGTATCATATTGGTGTTATATTTGATGTATCTGAGTGGAACAGAATGTTTGATAAATGATAGAGTGTGTGGTGAAATTGTATCTGTCATATAGACACTCCTCTTGGGAGACATCCAAACGGGGTCTAATCACCTTCTCCATACGCAACAGCCCCTGAATAAATTGTACCTCAACATCCACCACTTCATTCACAAAAGGACACGCCATGTCTCTCCTTCCTGCTACATGCTCAGCAGGCGAGCAACCTCAGGCTTAGATGAAGCAATCCTGCAGCTGTCACGGAGTATGTAGGTAGGAAGTGAGTAAGTAGGAAATGACTCAGGGTTACACTGAACTTGCTTTGTGAAACGGAAAACTCAGAGTTTCCCTCATCTCAGGCTCAACATACTCAAGAGTTTTCATTAGTCCTGCTTTCTGAAATAGGGCCCAGGAGTCTCCCTAGGTGGATAACAGGATCACTGTTCTGCTTTACAGGCGCATCCTCCTCAGTGCCTACCAGAGTTCATTTGTTTCCATTGTTGACTACTTTATCCCAGACTAGCTTTCTTATTTAATTTCCCAACACTGACAAACAATGCAGAATCTTAGGGCAAACACTACCAAACTGAAACAGAGGCAGATCAGTGAGACTTCGATGCTGCACCGCCTGGGGCTTCATTTAGCTGTGGTGGCTGTGTCGGGGGAAGTCACACCTAAACATGGTGGGACAGCACAGGTATCCTACTCTGTTACTGTGCTGCAACAAATCTTCAGCCTACAGCCAAATAATGGGCCTTAAATGAAAGGCAAGTGTACTAAACAGGGGCGGAAATCCTGTGGGGGGGGTGGGGGGGGTGGGGGGGGGGGGCTCTGTGTGTAGGCTCTCCACCTGTCAGTGAGACAAACATGAAAGACGTGCAGTTTATCGACGAGGAGCGGCCATTACGCACGGTTGTGATGGAGCGGCTCGTAGCTAATGGGTACCTGTCTGTAGGCTCTCCATCTGTCAGTGAGACAAACATGAAAGACGTGCAGTCTAACCAACGAAAAGCGGCAGATCTCACAGCACACTGTTTATAAACCAGTTTACCAGTTTAATTGCAGGAAATGTTTAGTTGTTAAGCCATTTCTCATAAGTATAGACATTCACTCTGCCTGTTGGAGAGATAGAGATAAGATTAAAGCGTCAAATTGCGGTAAAAGATGCTGTATAAAAGACAGGCTACAACTTTTTTTCCTTGTCCCTCCTGGAATTATTCTCTAAAATTTTACTGTTTATTGTCCCCCCCAACTATGAAATGGGATTTTCGCCCCTGAGCACTGATTTTTGTTTAGCAACAGGATAGACTGATGTATACACATATTTTTCAACCTGTTGTGTATAAATGGAGGGATTCTGAACTGCCAGTTGGAGAGCAGAAGATGATATTCTTCATTTAGAACATGCAAGGGGTCACCAGAAAGGCTGTTAGCAAGTCTGAGCACGCTTTTTTGGTGGCTACCTTAAAGAAATGTGCCACAGGTTGGCCGATAATCTTAGCGCAAATTTGAAGTTTCACAGATAGGCAGCTGAACCAGGCTGTACTTTATTACAACATACCAGTCTGGTTTGTTGTAATAAAGTACACACAATGAACAGTAAGTCAAGGCTAATATGAGTGAGCTAATGCTTTGCCAATGTAACTTTTTAACAAACTTGTTATTGCAAATAGGCTAAGTGCAAATTTTAAAAAGCATTCATGATTTTTTTTAAATCTAATGTATCATTATTTCATTGTTTAAATGGTATTATATTTGGTGAAGAGCACATTATGACTTGTTTGGAACTCGAAACTCAAAGTTTAAGACTTGGGACTTGACTCTGGACTTGTCAATCTTGACTCTGGACTTGAACTGGGACTTCAGTGCAAAGACTGGAGACTTATTTGTGACTTGCAAAACAAGGACTTGGTCCCACCTCTGATGGACAGTAAACCAGGGAGGGAAAGAAGTGAAAAGAGAGAGAACTGATGTCTGTCTGTTGGTCAAATTTTAACTAAATATGAAATAAAGAATATTTCTTGCTTTTAGAATGTTAGCCAGATTGATGTAGACACGAAAATGCACAATATAACAGATCATTGCTGGTGTAATGAGGAAGACATCTAATATTTAGAATGAAACCAGGAGACCTGACTGAACTAAAAACAGACACGTCCCACAGTTGACCATCATTGTATCTTTATTTTTGATAGTTTCTAGACAGTTTACCAAAAATGTGACCTGGTTTATTGGATGTCACATAACATTTCCATATATATATTTTTTATTATTATTTTTTTGCTTGTAAATCATTAGACTTTAAAACAAGCACTACTTTAAGACTTGTTCACAGATTGCAATTCCCATGTATAAGTGTATCTATGTGTGTGTAACAAAATGGGGAAATCCACTCTTCATTAGATTAAAGCTATTCATTTCATTATGTTCTGTCACCTTTAGACAAGTCATATTCACACATACCTCCTTTGTCAACTGTAGGACAGATAACAGCCCCTCATATGAACTTTTGGCATATTTCTGAAATCATAACAAAAGAGAGGAGTCTAGCGGATAGAGTAGTTGCAGTCCTTTTATAAATGAGATCACACTACAGAAATGATGCCAACAGCACAGCCAAGTTCATTGCAAACCTTTTTCATGTTTAATGATACCCATACATTTTTAAACACCGGAACATGTCATGAAAGAGTACTAAAAGGCAAAATATTTGTTAGCTGTGCAACCTACAGCTAGTGCCAATTACATCCAAACACCTACACATACAAACACGACTCTCTGATATATATGTTTTTACTTTACACCTTTTTACAGACCTTTGTTCTTTGATTTTTAATTGAGAACAAAGAATGATTGACATTAAAACGACTGTTACACCTCAGGGTTCAACCTGTGAAACGTTAAGGAACACTGTAGGCCTGCATCCACTGGGCTGTGCATCTAAAAAATAAGAAATTAAATATTCTGTTGTCACTGCCCAATTCTGTAAACAAAGCTCGGGGTCAAACTTCTGGATAACAGCATATGACATGTTCCCCTCTAATTTTAAGAAATGAGGACATAATAAAATACACTGAAAATCAGTGTGACAGCAGTCCAGTTACTAGAAGAAAATGTTGGTATTGTACATTTCTGCAATCCATGAATACATTACATTTGTACATTTCATACAGGTCCTATCAGCATTTCTACAGAGGCTCAGTTTACAAGCTGACTTTGTCATCTGGAGGTGGAGGGGATGATACTGGCATGACACCTAGGCGAGACACCACTGTTCGAGACTTTATTGAGAAATCACTGCTTTCCCTGCTGAGATTGTGCCCCTCAAACCAGGTTATTTAAGCCAAAACATGATCTTTTCCTAACCATAACTAAGTGTTTTTGTGGCTAAACCTAACCAAATGTTAACTGCAGTGTCATTAAATGTTAAGTTTTAATGTATCATCAACCTAAATAACCTAAAGTGCACATGTAACGTATCTGTGGTTTACAGTAACGTACAATGCCAACAGTTTTTCTGGCCACTGTGTCGGACTGATATACTCATGAACACGGTCATACAGGAGAAGGTGCAGGCCTGCACTACACAATTTATTCAACAACTGCCAACATTTACCATTCAACACCAGGCTGCCTTGAGAAGGCCACTCATTAAAGATACTTTAACAATATGAGGAACAGAGTGGACTATGTGCGATAAATATATCAAGAAATAGTTGACAAATGGTGTATCAGCACTGCCTCCAATTTCTGCCCATGGCTTAAAGAATAGTTATACAAACATTTAAAGTGCTTTAAAGGAAGAGTATGACATTTTTGCAGAATGTACTTAGTTGTCGTCTTACCCACAGTCAGAAAAGAAGATGATATGATCATTTTTTAGCGGACAGTAAAGAGACAGGTCCAGGATGTGGTCAGCCTAGCTTAGCACAAAGACTAGAGGCAGGTGGAAGCAGTTGTTGCTAGCTAGCTTCGTCTTAACTTCAAAAACAATTCCTGACAGTAAATTAAAGCAGTAAAGCTGCCTTATTTTTTATGTTGTATCTTATTAGCAAGCAAGTCACCAATACATCTCAAGCTGCCAGTAAAGACAGTTCTTAAGGGTGTGGTCAAACATGAATGAAATTAACACAGGCTAAAATTCGCCTATCTTCAATTCAATGCAAACAGGGCGAATAATTGCTAATTGGTTGTCGGTGAAGATTCTCACTCATCCAGGTTAAGGCCCATTTATGCTCAACTTTAAATACGGATCTGGATACGGACTGAGCTTTCTGTCCGTGCTCTGCGTTCATTTCGTCCGTATTTTTGCACGTTTCCATAAAGCTTACGGATACGGGCCAAACGGAGCAGTACCACCGGGAACCGTGGGGGCAGTGTTGCTGTCACTACCCGATACGTAGCTCTAGTGGGACACGAAGAAGAAATAACAATTCAATTTCTCTCATCGGCAATACTAGAGAAAAGAATTCTCCATCCTCCAGTCGCGATGTATTTAATGGCCTCACCGACCACCGCGTCCTACAACGCTGTCTCTCTTTTTGTCTTTTATGCAAGAGGTACATTATCAATATCTCCTCCACAGTCGCCATGTTTGTTTCTGAGTTTGTTGTTGTCATAAACTTTTGGTACGGTAACGGTACGGTACGGACTGTAACATCGTTTGAAACAGATGTATACATTTTCGTACATAAAGGGAGCATAAATGGGCCTTAATGGTAATCATAAGTGCTATATCGTAGGCAACTGGACTTGCTTGCATTTCTTGAGGACGTTTCACCTCTCATCCAAGAAGCTGAACTGAAAAAGCTTCTTCACGTGTTCATGAGTTCAATTTTGACCTGCGAAGTCACAGCCTCAAACAATAGCACATAAGTATGTGTGGAGAAGACATTGATAGCAAGCTAGCTTTCCATGCACGTCACAACCAGGACCGCCCACATTCAGCATGAATATAGCCTCAGCAGGTGATGGACACTCGCCTGCATTCGCTTACTTGTAACCGTACATGTAGAATGGCAACCATATACCCTATAACAGCTTATAATAGCTTGTTTGAATTATGTACCTTGACCAAGGATGCAGGGACAGCTGACACAGTGTGTTGTTGTTGTTTTCATATTCTCTACTGTTCATTATTTCATAGCTGACTACATAAAATACAACATGCCACTAAGACGGCTTTGGAGTTGGTTCTGCCTCAGTCAATCTGCCTCCAGTCAAAAAACCTACTGAGGACATCTCAGCATCCTTTAATATCAACACTATGCAGTGTGAGAAACTGAATCTAGTTGTGCCATCAGTTCTGCAAAAACAACAAAAGTTGGAAGTGTCTGAAAATGTGAGTCTGGCTTTTGAACTCGCAGAAGGATAAGGCAAGAATAGTTATTTGTCAATAACGTGCTAAACGCCTAATGAATTTTAAATGTATTTTAGGTCAATTTTATAAGTCACCTCATTACATAAATACTGTAGAGCTGTCAGGTGCTCAAAATATGGGTCTGTTCATCCTGTTTCACTTGGAGGTCAGTGGACAGTGCAGGTACACTCTGTACCATCACCATCAGTCATGATACAGGATAATCCAGGACCCTCTCCTCTGGTATCAGCCCATGTGTATTAGCTATGTAAACACAAACAAGACCATTTAATTGACAATTTATGGATTGGGTGTTATCAACACTGTCTCAGGCACTCTTTGACAGTCCACTCTGAGATCCTCTCTCAGATTAAAACGAGTGGGAAAAGGATGAAAGGGCCTTAGGGGAATTCCGCCTCAAAAACAGAATTCACATATCACTGCTATGATCTAGGACAAATATCAACTGTACGTGCCATGATATCACAGGATACAGCCTTGCTTTTTTTCTCGTGCTCACATAAGATGCTAGAATTCATATGTAAAGGATGTAAAGGATTTCAATTATTCATCCTTCAGAGCCCAGACTGTACAAGGATCACTTCCAGATGTCATCCACCTCCTCCAGCAGTCAGTCTACAGGCCACACTGGGACTGCTGCCGGTGTCTGCGAACGCTACACATTTGACTGAAGGACTGTCCACATCGTGAGCAGCTGTAAGGCTTCTCCTGCGTGTGGACTGTGCGATGCCTCTTCAGGTGGCTGGATGAGATGAAACTCTTTCCACACAGTGTACATCGATAGCGCCTCTCCCCAGTGTGGATGAGGAGGTGGACCCGCAGGTTATTGGGCTGGGCAAAGCCCTTTCCACAGTGGGGGCAGGTGTAGGGCCTCTCCCCTGTGTGCACCCGTTGGTGCAGCTCCAGGGCGGCTGCACTGGGGAAGACACGCCCGCACACAGCGCACACCATGGGCTCTTTAGCAGCAGCAGAGCTGCTCCTGTAAGGCCGCCTCTGGCTGGTCGTGGTGGCAGAAGGTGCTGTAGGGGGAGGGGGTGGAGGAGGTGGTGGAGGTGGTGCAGCCACGACCGCAGCAGCAGCCGCTGCGGCGGCAGCCATGTCGAAGGAGGCAGCGAAAGCAGCCATTTCATGAGCACCACCTGTGAAGAGCATGGTCGGAGGGCCATCTAGACTGTCTCCTCCTCCCTGCGTGGGGAAGGAGGCAGAGGGGTGGCCAGTTTCTGTGTTCCCTAAACCCAGCTGTGCTACTGCATACGCTGCACCAAGATGGCTGACTCTCTCCTGCATCCAGGCCAAGTCCAGGCCCAGACTGTTGAGACGTTCAGGACTGGGCTCATCTGAGGCTACTGGGGCTGACAGCTGAGAGGGATGAAGTTCATCTTCTGTAGTATTGTCTGTCTGTATCTCTGGTTTCAGAGCACCATCCGTTAGGCTCCCTCCAAGGTCCCTGCGAGCAGCCTCAGGGGTGGTGACCACCCCACTGCTGACTGTCAAACTGTTGCCAAGAGGCATTGTAGCTTTACGTTTCGCTCGAGGCCTGCAGGTCAGGTCCATTGTGGCATCAGTGGGGGACGAGGAGGTCTGAGTGGTGGAGGAGGTGATGTTGGTGACACTGGTGTCAAGAACAATATCGCTGGGAGGGGGTTCCTCACTGGGCTCCATGGCTGAAGATAGACAGATAGGCACAGGAGGAACAGAGTGAGTGGAGTTTAGAAAAACATTACTGCTGTTTTGCTCTTCACACAGTTGGTTTTTATGAAGCAAAGAGAGAGCTGATGAGGATTGTCAGGAAGAGTATGAATTTAGGGGGAAAACTATAAATAAATCACATTTGGGGACAAATCTAGGTCACACCATCCTAAGATATTCTCCCCAGTGCTTATCAATTTTCCTGCCCCAGAAAATGTCATTTTCTGAAAATAAAAAAATTCAGAATGTTTTGTCAAATAAATGTCTCTTGTGACTAATACTCCTTTTCGACAGTCATGGGCTGACTAGGGTTGGCTTGGTTTGGGCCATCAGCCCAGCGCGGCAGGGATTTGCATTGCCATTACAACAAGGCGACCTGCTTGAGTGTGTCTTTAACTGATGACAGCTTGTCTTGAGTGAAGACGTTTAAAAGCAGCAGGCAAAAATCCTGGTATGTTTGCTGCATGTGATTTTGCAAAGCAGGGCAGGTAAAAGAAGTTTACCTGTTGGAGGTGAGCTGTTTGCAGAGGTGCAGTAAGAGTCTGTTGTCTGCAGTGCGTCTAAACTGATAATGCAAACGTAAATTGGTGCGGCATGGCTTGACTCGGTGTGGCCAACAGTGACAGTGGAAAAGGCCCATAAGGTGTATTAATGGAGAGAAACTGACCAGTCTACCGAAGCCAGGACGTAGTGTTAAACTTTTATCAGCTATCCTCTAGTTTATCTTCACGCTCTGCGTTGTTTGTATTAAAACCATAAGAACAATCAATGGAAAATCAATTTAAGAATGTCCAGAGCCACACTCACCAGTAGACAGGCCACACTCTGCCCTGATGGTGACCTCCACCTTGAGGTCCGGGTTGCAGTCATCTCTCTCAATTTTCTCCTGCTTCACCAGAGGCAACATGTTGGCCTCCTCCTGCTGTGATACAGTGAAAAGCAGCTGGAACATCACGTTCATTATTCATTGATCACATAGCTCAGGACAAAACTAGAACTCAACCCTATGACCTTGTTCATACACGTGGGCTGCCTGAAATCCATGATGTCACAGCAGACAAGAGAGTCAAGTTACAAATGCTCCACTACACATTGTGTCATGAAAGATAATGAGGGCAGCAGAGACAATGCAAGAACTTTTTAACCTCCAAGTTAGAAGAATACCCAACAGACATCATCATCCGCAGCGCACTTCCTGCTGGGAATGTCAGGATTCAGTCCATGTAATGATGACATCCTCTGAGCTGATCTTTAACATCATCAACATTTTAGTGGTTTGATGAACATAACACCACAGAGGTTCTTTCAGAGGGCAGAAGAGATGCCTTACACACAACCCTGAAATAGCTTTTAGATGTTCACAAGAATTAAAAGCCGCTCTGCTGATAAATCTTTACCTTTGAAATGTGATGGAAGGGTTTGTCTTCAGCGGCGACAGGAAGAGGTGGCACCACAGGCTGATGTTCTTCAGCTCCTGAAAACATAGCACAGAACACTGAGCAAGTACTGTCCGCTGGTTTTTGTGCCTTTTGAACTTGTGGGATTTTAATTAGGGATATACGATTTTGGCTATTTTGATGTTATCTGATATGCCGATATATGACCACTCATTTGGCCTATAACCGATAACAATATCGATATATATACTTTTTTCCCCCACCTTATTTTCGTGAGCATCAAGTCTCTTCTGTAGTGGAATTAACATCATATTATGCATGCATACTCTTATCATGATGGCCCACCAGCAGATGGAGACATGAAATAGAATACTTCTCAAAGTATGTAATATTCATTCATTGTGCAAAATAATTAAAAGCATTTTGGCCAATTCTGATCATTCATTTTAAAGCCGATATTGGCCAATACAGATAAGGTACTGATATTATTGTGCATCCCTTATTTTGGCTAAATGTCATAATTATATATGTACAACCTGTCTCTTAAAAGTCATTTCTTAGCTTCTGAATGAGCTCCTATAGCTTCAGACTTAACAGTCTGCCCTTGGGAGGGAAAATATCGTGATACAGTATGATAATATACACACAATACTAGCATGCACACAACCATCAGTTGGTAGGAGCAAAGAAAGCATCCATTATTTTAGCTTGTGTTTATATATAGAAACAGAGAAGGGATTTCTGGTGCAACTTAACCGACCTCCAAGGCGCATGAAGAAGGAAACAAATCCGAAAAGGTCAAAACTCCAGCAAGCCTTGTATTATACAGACCCTCTCAAGGTCTCTGATTACCCTGATGAAGACCACAAGCCAGACCATGTTAGTTTTAAGACTAGCATGCACTGAATGAACAACCTAGACAGGTAATCAGTCTACTGGTAATTTGGATCAAAATCAGCTTATTTGTATGCATTCAGACTGTACAAAGAAACCAGAGTACCTGGAATGAAATTCCAGAACAGGTCCTTCTTGCTCTGAATGTTTAACAGCAAACCCAAGTATAAGGGGACTCTACTATCCGTTGTCTGTTGACGTAGCAGCACTGTAATCTGTGTTAGCACCAGTGAGGCAGATGAGGCAGTCAGAGATCAGAAAAGAAAGTACAACCAGGACGCTGGAGTTTGCCATAAAGATGATTCTGTATTGATTAATCTCTTGTTCCTTAAAAGTGAGGGGTAATGCTGACATGTTGGCCTACGATAGACAGATGGACAGACAGATAGGTAAATAGATAGTCTTTGCTGATAACTGGTCTTCTTTCTGGAAACGCCCCGACCTGTTGACTGCATATAGCATTCATTAGAATAGATGGCGCTGCTATTTTATCCATGAATATAGTGTTTAAGTTTGACATTAGGGGCATGTTACTTGGCAGGTTCTACTAGAACATGTTTACATGCTTTAATGTTCAAAAAAATACATCTGTTTTTTTTCCCATACAGTCTGCATGAATATACCTGTGATCACCCTCTGTCTGAAACACTCCATTTTTCTATTTGTATAGGCCGTTTCACTGGAATTAGGCTGAAAACACACCGACACTGCCACGGTGCGGCGCGTCACATGGCGCCCTAGCACACACTGGACGCGTAGTGCTGCGGCTTGTCAACAGACGACCACGCAAAGTTATTATAACTACAGAAAGATCTGTACTTCCTCCACCTCTGTGTTAGCTTAAAGACGTGTGGATATCCACTAATTACAGTTGATTTCTCACCTTAAGAGCTGATCTCCAGAGCTATGACTCACCGACAATATCTTTTTCAGGCATTGTCTTTGTAATGATGGGATTGTGGGTCAATTAACTTGAGATATTTCTCAACCTCAACAACGTGTCTTTTCTCACCCATTCTTTGTCACACATGAGACAGAGTTCTGTTTCCATCAGTGGTGATAAGAGGAGCCAAACTGCCATAGGAGCAGTGAAAAAGAGCTGCCACAGGAGCTGGTATGTACAAGTAGAGTGGGGGAAAAATGCATTTAATTCTGGGGGTGTCAAGACTGGAAACAGGACAGTGGTGCAAGGAGCGCCGAAGTGCGTCTTGCCGCTGCCAGTGTGGGACTGTGCGTTGATAATAACAGGGGCCTGGTGGCTTAGTGGGTAGAACAGGCATCCCATATACAAAGGCAATGTCGATTCCAGCCTGTGGCCCTCTGCTGCAACTCACTCACTCACTCACACTCTCTCTCTCTCTCTCTCTCTCTCTCTCTCTCTCACACACACACACACACACACACACACTTAGACTGTCCTATCTATTAAGGCAAAAAGCCCCCCCCCAAAAAAAGTGCAGTATCCTCCACCAATGTGTTTTGGCCTTTACACTGCTAGCCAACAGCTTGGGTCCATGTTTACTTCCTGTCAGCTGATGTCATTCACATGCACTGCAATGATTATGATTATGATTATGAATGATTATGTTTCAAACGGTCTATACTTGTGACATCACAAATTCAAAGATTTCCTGACCTCTCATTTAAAGGCACAGTTTCTGAATACCAACTGTGAGCATTTCTCTGTGTAGCCTTTTGATACTTTCACAGCAGTTATACAGCACCTACACCAGCTTTACTCTTTTTAAAGTCAAGGACATCTGACTTTTCACAATATGGGACCTTTAAAGGGGAACACCACATAAATAAAGAATCCCAAATAGTTACTTCCATGGCCTGGGAAAGTTCAATCCGTATTTGTGAACATGAACTACTCTCTCTCAAAGCCACAAACCAGAGAACTAAGTCTCAAACTTGTGATGTGTGGAGTTGTTCATGTTTCCTTACATTATTTGGACTGTCTTAGACTATAAGAATAACATTCAACTACAACATGTATTCATTTTGAAAGTCAGCTTAGTTCCCCATTAAGGTGGGTTTTGCTTTCCTACCTGATTTTGAGGCTGGCTTTAAGAGGGTCATCTGATCAAACTCTAGTTTAACAACATTTATCATTTCAATTTTGTGCGTATATATTATGTTGCAGGTGGCACAGAGGAAAAAATGAGGTGCACCAATTAGTGACACCTTTGATATACTGTAGGGTTACCTGTGGGAGGAACGCAGGCTGTAGTGTTGGTTCAAGCCGATGGGATGAGACAGGTGCACATCTCATCCCACGCTGGTGTGTTGGGAAGACTGGGCAGTGAAATGCAGAAAACACTGGTGGGCCTAAAGCTCTTCTCTGTGTGCAGGAATTTCCGCTAATGAGTTTGAATGTTTTTAACATGTATTGTTTTCATGCATTTCAGGCCTGCTACCTGCTCGGTTGAAGGTGGCGGATAGTCGGGAGCAAATTAGATATTTTAAAATTAGCCATGTAGTTTTTTAACATTTGATCCATATGCATTTTAATATTTTGCAATAAAGTTTTTTGTAAGAGTATTCATTTGTGTCTCTGCAGAGCATCAGTGGTCCATTAGCTGCTCTTGCTGTGGGACTGTTTTTGTTGTTTGGTTAGGTCTTTTTTTCTTGTCTAGTCTGCCCTAACAAGTGAGCTGGTAATGGGCAAAAGATATGGGTATTGCCCTACAGGTGGACTGATTTTCTTTCTTCAGTTTTTTGTTTGTTTTTGTTTTGTTTTATCTGCCTGCTTCCCACACTAATTACCAACTTGCTCAGACAGTCAGGGCAGTTTTAAGGTGTGCTGTGGTTGACTGTTTGCAGTGAAAATAATCACGTGTGGAAACTTTGGAAATGTGTTAGCTCTTCGAGTGCAAGATGTATAGATTACAGTGTGCACTGGTGTGACAGTGGAACTTAACCCCTGCCCTGTCAGTGATAGCTGGGGGTCAGTCTTCGGGAGGGTAAAGTGGGAGAATATAGATTGCAAAGTTGAACCTCTGTGATAAGACTACTGTTTATCCTGTAGTGGGTGTAACAATTACATAATCCTAAATTAATGTGTTTAATCCAAATACTACAAGACAAACTGAGGCCAGGTACTCCAGCAGAGCAGGGGTTAAGAGGAGCCCAGCAGCAGACAGGCATGTAGACATCTCCAAACCTGGACAAATTAGACCAAAACTATCTAACACTTGAGGTCTGTCAGAAGACAGCATGTTTGTAACTGACCTGAACTGACACAGATGTAGTCTAGATCATGCCTTCAGTCTAACTCAACTCAAAAGCAAACTTTTCCTCCAGTATAAGAGTCATAACCTTCCACATGGTGCATGGACATGTGACATACATGTGTGCCTGTATGATCCTGAGGTCCACATTGAGCAGCAGACTATGGACACAGACTGACAGCCACTACAAGCTACAGCGTGGACTCATATTAATCAGAAACTGAAAGATGAGCTCATCAATAAGCCCATTAGGCTCCTGCATGTATGTATGAGGACACGTATGACTCCCTCAGCCGTCATGTGGCAGTGATGGTGCAGCAGGCCAGCTGCAGCCCAGCCTCCTGCCTTCTCCATCTATTTACCTTCGGGTGGCCTAAAATGAACGGCGTGCATTTCCTCCCGCTGACTCCGTCTCCTCATCTTCCTCTCGTAGCTCCGCAGCTTCACGTCGATTTCTCGCAGTTTCTGCCGCAGGGCATCGTTCTCCTTCTCGCTCTTCTCCCGCTCCTGGTCCATCTGAGAGCGCAGCGCCGCGTAGCCATCGTCCACCAATTTGCAGATCTCCGCCACTGCCGAATTGGCCAGTATCTCTATAATCGAGGCGATTTGCGCTTGAAAGCCAACACAGTCCGCCATCATCGCCAGGTCTGTGTGTCTGCTCCTGCTCGGACAGATGCGCTCGGCGGACGGATGTTGCTGCTGCTGCGGTGCACGGGCGTGACCAGACCCACTCTGTGATATGTGACTGAAGAGCGTTTCATTCACCCCGTCTGCCTTCTTTTATGAGCTCCTGAATGTTGTGGCTCTTTGAGGTGCCAGAGTCGCTTCCTGATGACGTCAGTTTGTTGTTCAGCATCACTTCACAGGCAGCTCTGTCTGTCTCAGCTGTCTGAGCTAATATGGACAAGAGGAAGTGGAAATCTCTTCAGTCTGACACAATGTGATGATTAATAAGCCTCGTGCTGCTGCATTCATGTTTTACACTGTACACTGAGGTGCATGTGAAGGCGTTTGATAAATCTCAACAGACCTACTGTGCATCTGAAGCTTTAGTGTTCAGTCTATTATTATGGTGTCATTACTACAGAGAAAAACTTACTGTATAACTTTTCATTAACACATACTCTTATTTAAACGTATATAAAACACAATTTCTCTCACAAATAGGTACTGCTTCTACATAGAATATAATACTGATGTACTACAATAAGAATAAAGTGGAATAAGGAGGGTGTGTGTGTGTGTGTGTGTGTGTGTTGCAAAAAAAGAGACAAAAAATAAATAAGTAATAAAATAAATAAAGAAATAAAATAGCTCAGATTTGGTTGTGGGGGATTTTTCTGATGGAAGCCTAGGCCCATAGACCGTTGGAAATTTGAAAATCCCACGATAGTTTCTGTTTTACAGTTTCTGGCTATGATAAATGATGTAATTTTGTGCATTTTTTTAGACTGCATGTTTGCTTTAATAATCGACAGTAAAATAAATACAAAATACAACCACTTAAAGTTGTATGCCCCTCCCCTAAGGCAAAATAAAAAATGTCTCCCCAATAAATAACAAACATTCCGTAATTATCTGACAGCTATTTAAGGTGATATGTGTTCACTTTGAACAAATTCTTCCCAGAATATAACCTTCCTGTCACCTGTAACTAGAGATTTTATTAATTTCAGGAGTTCAGATTTAAAAACTGTCAATAAATGTGCAAAGGACATAATCCAGAGGGCAACAGTTAACACACCCTGCTTCTGTATTACTATCATTTTTTAAATAACACTTGACATGATTTATTTTAATTATTTAATATAAATAGTATAAATAAATAATACAATACATATCAAACAAACAAACCATAAAATACGCTATCACAATAAAAGCAAGCAAGTGATGCTCAGTCCAGCTGCACATGGAATATGAAGTTGTACACTGGGAAGGTCCCTGGGCAAGAATCAGTGCATGTGGATGGTACTACACATGGCTGGTGGACTGAATGGTCATAAATTACTTGTGATCATTTTTCACATTGTATCCTCTGAGAGAGGAACTGCTGAAAAAGAAGTTAACTATGTTGGGGATGGTAAAACTAAAATTACCACCTTGCAATGTGTATCTACGAACCAGTCAAGTTGCACTTAAGAGTTTACATTCATGTCTCTTCAAGCTCATGTGGTGTTTTGTTTTTAAGTGGTTTTGCAGAATATTATGATGTCACAGTGAAGTTGACCTTTGACCTTTTGGATAAAAAATGTTATCGATTCATCATTTTTGCCCTGTTAGACCAGGGCAAAAAAATAAATAAATAAATAAAGAAGATCTGCCTGTAGCCCCAAAACTAATTTGAACCTCATAAAAAAGTAAAACACGACAAAGACATGCAGATTGGGGACTAGGTTAATTGATAACTCTAAATTGTCCGTAGGTGTGAATGGTTGTTTGTCTCTATGTGTCAGCCCTGCGATAGTCTGACGACCTGTCCAGGGTGTACCCTGCCTCTCGCCCGATGTCAGCTGGGATAGGCTCCAGCCCCCCCGCGACCCTCAAGAGGATGAAGTAGTTAGAAGATGAATGAATGAATGAATGAATGAATGAAAAAAGTAAAACAGCCTTTTTTGTCAAATTCAGCCGATCAACATTACTAACAGATCTAAATGAGCATCCCTTAATATGTTTTAGCACAAGGTGGCTACTCTGCAGTGGGCTATTTATGATAATTTGGTGCTTAAACTTTGCAGCGATGAAAGCAAACAAATTTGTCGACACAATCCTTTATTTTCCCTTGATTCTTTTCCTTTTTGGGATTTGGAATCCATAGCTCGCCTAGCTAGGGAGACTCAAGATTTCTGTAGCCATCACTAGTGATGTTTTTAGAGGAAAAGGCACCAGGCCACAGATGTATGATGCACATTTAAGTTGACAAACTGTTCAAACATTTTTAAAATTTGTATATAGGCTTCACATTTTTACAGTTGAATAATGTAAGAATCATTTTAGGCATACAACAAATTAGAATGTAAAAAAAACAAACACAAAAATACAGTTATTAGTTTCCATATAATTTTCTGTCAAAGCCACAGGGAGTTACTTGAGAGGGACTAAAGAGCTGAGTGAGTCTTGGAGCCACAGGTTGCAAAGGGAGCATTACAGCACTCAGGGATTACAGCACCCCACATACCGACACAACATTATTTCATTCTGTTAAAACAATACACACAACTTGGATGAATTTTTATTAAATACCCTTTTGATTCATCTGATCTGAGGACTCTTACGGACTAAAGGAATATAAATAACTTACAGGGTAATCAAGGAATGTACACATAATTTGAGGTAGTCAACAACCTGGTTTTACACATCTGAAGAACTTCTATTAAAAAAAAAAGAACTGCTTGGCAACCACACCAGGCCTCTAATTGAGACAGGCATATATCTATCAGAATGTGTAGCCACATCAGGCTAGTCAAAGGGACTGCGCGTTCAATTGAGGTTTCAGAGTAATTATGTATTTAATGGTTTCAGGAGTTATTTACAAAGACCTGAATAAAATTAGTGTGCCTTTTGCACTTGTTTAATTCACACATGTATTTATTTTGATTGCATATATTTTTTCTTTTCAGTCTTAAATTGTTCTTATTTCTATTCAAATTGATCACTTATATACTGTATAACACAAGTACTATATATTTTTTCATTTTGATATGATGATGCAATGGGTGTCTAATTCAGGATGTACCTTTGTTCTATGTGATGTATATTCCAATACAGATGAAAAAAACATGATTCATTCACCAGGTTAATGTGTTCAGTCATCTGGAGGCAGTTTTCTTCATGTTTTATTGTAAACATTAACGTGTATAAATGACGACATCACAGTCTGCTATGATGAGCATTACTGACTTTATATGCACACTACACTTCTGCTTCATTTCTGATTCACTTCAGTCCCTTCTGATATTGTGTGCTCACTTGCCGTTGTGGATGCTCTGATGGCGGACCAGGTTGCCCAGCACAGAGAAGCTCTTGCCACACTTGGTGCAGCTGTATGGTCTCTCTCCTGTATGGACAGTCTGGTGCACCTTGAGGCTGCAGGCCTGCGAGAAACGTTTCCCACACAGGCTGCAGCTGTAGCGCTTCTCCCCTGTGTGCACGCTCATGTGTCTCTTGATGTGGCTGGACTGGGAGAAGCGTTTACCACACTGAGTGCAGCTGAATGGTTTCTCTCCCGTATGCACCCGCTGATGGGTTTTCAGCTGGTGTGGGTGGACAAAGGGCTTCTTACAGAGGTGGCAGTGGTAGATCCTCTCCCCAGTGTGGGAGCGCTGGTGCACCACCAGGTCTCTGGAGGTGGAGAAGAGTCGGCCGCACTGCTGACAGCTGAACACTCGCTCTGTGCTGCTGGGAAAGCTTCTGCTCCTGGAGACAGAGGTGTTACTGACGGAGGAGACAGTTACAGAGTCTGACATGGAAGCATCCCCAAAGCTGCTCCCACTGCACAGGAAAGTTAAAGACGAGGATGAGAGAGGCTCCTCTGTGCCTGTGACTCTGTCTGTGGAGTGTTTGTGAGAAACTGTCAGAGACCTGGCCACCTCTGGAGAGGAGAACAGGTCATCGAAGGAGGAGGAGTCCAAACTGTTGATGTCCAGCTCTGCTGCTTCACTCTCTGTGTGGTGACTGGAGTTAGTTAATCTGCTGCCACTCAGACACTCACTTCTAGTGACAGAAACTAAAGGATTATATGTGCTAAAAGCTTCAGACCAGGAAGGTTCAGCCTCCAGTTTGACTGCTGGTAACACCACCTCTGCCCTCCAGTCTACTGCAGCACCACAAAAACCCTTCACTCCAGTGCTTGTAGGTGACAGTTCTGAATCCAGTGTCTTTATCAGAGTAGTCTCTACATCAGAAACTTTACTACAACTGGACTCAGCAGATAGAGAGCCACTGGGGTCCACAGCATGTTTGTCTACTTCTTTGGTTGAGTCTGTCATTTCCCTGGCTCTGTTTGGATCAGAACCTCTTGGTACGGCTCTGTGGCTCTGGTCTGCTGGATCAGAGTCCTCTCCCTGAGTTCCAGCCTCCTCCGCTCCCTCTTTCTCTTCGTGCTGCCGAGCTTCAAGCCTGGCAAAGCCCTGATTTTCATACCCGCTGACTCTGGGGATTTCTGCCTCAGCACTCAGAGGGCGGTTGCTCTCAGCAGCAAGAGGAACAGACTGAGGTCCAACTAAAGAAAAAAAAAAGACAAGATAACATCAACCTTTCCTTTTTAACCATATCTTCCTTTTTGGTGTTTGCTCAGAAGCTGTGCAGTATCTTAAAGTGTTTCATTCATACTGCTGATGTTAGGAGCTGTCTGATGGTCTTCCAGCACACTGCAGCCTGTCAGCTCCTCCTCCAGCCTTTCCTTCTTTATCACCACCACCTCTGGCTCCACCGGCTGCTCCGTCACAACCACCAGCTGGCAGATAGAAAACAGGTATGGAAAATCATACTGCTGCTGCACTTCAAGTCTTTCAGAGCTTGGTTGGTTATCAGCAGCAATGCACATGAATACTTTTTAGTAGTCTCTTTAGAAAAACCTCTCCTCCCAAAGTCCACAACCATCTCCTTAGTCTACCCTACAGTGATGCAGAGAGTGTTTGCTCTGCACCAGTCCACAAGTTCTTCCACCTCCTGCCTGTACACAGACTCATTGTTGGAAACCACAGCTGTGTCAATCGAAACTTCACTATATGAATGCTTGGGGACCTTGCAGAACAATCATATGTAAGGAGTGTGTTCAGCAGGGGGCTCAGGAAACACCCTTGTGGGGAGCCAGTGTTGAGTGATAAGTACACCAGTCACCTGTAGCTGAGAAGCTGCTGCACTGCTGTGCGCCGCCATTGTGCCCATTGTGCCCATTGTGCCATTTTTGAAATTGGTCCTGTATTAGTAGAGAGATCGCTGCTGCCAGCAGTGGCAAAAAAATGCTGCATTGTAATCCCTTCGGACAATTGTGCACCGTCAATGTACAGCCGCTACAAGTAGGGGTGGGAATCACCGGAGGCCCTACGATACGATATTATCACAATACTTTAGTCACAATACAAAAATATTTTAAATGTTTCGCGATATGTGATAACAGTATTGCAACAACATATACTGTCGCAAAATTGTGTCCCCAAAGGAAAACTTTGTCAACATCTGTTTAATCTAATAAGGGTTTGGTCTGTTCATCTCATTTCAGTCATTTTTATTGTAGCAAAATGTATCTAGTGGACTGAAAAAGCTAATGATTTTGTAATTGTAGTATTCACCCTAAGTTTAATTTTTAGTTGCAGGGTTACAATCAACATTCACTCCAGCGTAAAATGACTCTACAGTATTCATAGGTATTTCTCGGCTCAAGCTCTGATCAGCTTCAATTGGCAGGGATGGAAATAAAACTCCCGGATGGACGTGCTAATTTTAGCCCTTCATTTTGGTAGAAAAGTGTGTAAATGTCAAACAACATAATGGAAAAGACCCTACTAAGAAATAAATAGTTTTGCTTTCCCTTTCACCGGTCCGTTTGTTAGTGTGTGTAACCAAGCCTTGCTCAAGGAGAAGCCTCATTCTGAAATCTCGCTGACTTTTCCACATTGTGGAAATCAGCCAGTTATTCAACCACGCCATTGAAAATCTTTAAGATCTTTAATCTTTAAGATAACAACACTAAGCTATGCTTTATGGACTCCAACACAGTGAGTGAACTCTCCCTGGCACTCCTCTCTCCAAGCTTCACTCACATTTCCAAAGTTATTTTCCTGCAACAAGTCACCACACACGAGATTTTAGGACGAGACTTCTCCTTGAGCAAGACTAAGTCACAACAACAAACAGCCCAGCCAAAGGTAGAGAAATACATTTAAATTCTTTGTAGGGTCCTTCCTGTAATGTTGTCAAACACTTTTCATAACAATCTGACCCTTTCGGTGGCAAAAACAAGCACTTTTAGTGAACGTACATAGATGGTGCTCAATTGCCTGTAGGGACTACATTGCAGCCTGTTTTACAGTTGCAGCTGCAGCTGTCTGGCTTCATACTGGACCAATTTCAAAAACTGTCGTCTCCATTAGTCACTTACAAGTAAAATCACTGGAAAATAGGGTCCAGGTTAAAATACAGATGTTTCCCTTTAAGTAAAAGTAGCAATACTATGGTGTAAAAACACTTAGTTACAAGTCAAGTAAAGTAAAAGTACAAAAGTTCTGGCCTCAAAATATACTTGAAGTACCAAAGTAAAAGTACTCATCCATTTTCAGAACCATATACATATTATCGTATTGTAATTATTGATGCATTCATGTTTACATCACTTTGATGTTCCAGCTAGTAATAGCGGAGCTTATTTCAACTACTTCTTTATGCTAATGTGTTGCTTAACCCATGATAATTCATCTATTTCAATATACATTTTATCTTAATAATTTTAATCTACAAAGTAACTACTAAATATTGTCATCAAATAAATGTTGTGGAGTCAAAAGTAAAACACTGGCTGCCAAAATGTAGTGTGGCAAAAGTAAAAGTAGCATAAAATGGAAATACAGGTACAGGTACCTCCAAACTGGACTTGAGTACTGTACTTGAGTAAATGTACTTAGTTACATTTCACCACTGTATTTCAGAAAGCAAGCAGGAATATCTCACCTGTACTGTGTGTGGACACTGACAGAAGAGATAAAGTAAGAAAAGCTGACCTTTGCAGCACTAACCTGTGACCGCTGGGTGTCAGTATTCTCCAGCATGGTGGACTTCACATTTCTTTTGGTAATGGCAGGGCTGTCTTCTCCAGAGTGATGATCTGCTCAAAGCAAATCAGAGGGGTTCATTATAATAAGTCTACTGTTACACTGTCATTATGTGGACTCTTTGCCATGTATCAGGTGATTAGATGCTGAGTGTCAGCCTTGGTATTGGTTTTCTCTCTTGATTGTAAATTTAAGCTGAAGTCCAGAACTTTTTAATGAAAATAGTACCCCTCCTGCTGACAGTGCTAATGAAATTGTTCACAGCAGAGCCCAGAGAACCTGACTTAAATGTATGAATCAAAAACATTACATTAGATGAGGCATATGGCTCTGGCTCCTAATTTACCAACAAAGAAGGGGCTGAATATCATATTTTAGTGTCTATCACAAGTCAGGGGAGCTGGTATATGCTCAGGCTGCAGGAGGTCTTTCTACTGTACTGTAAAACAAGATCCTGTTATAGTGACAAGTTTCCTACTTGTATTCTCAGGGACCTGTTTGTTTCACTGTTTGTTTTTTAATTACTGGGCTATTGTTAATGGGGTCCTATTTCTGAGTTAAAAAAATAAAGGTTGAATAAATGAATACACCAGTGGCGCCCCCAGAAGTGTTTAATAGAGGTGGGCAGATGGGGCCACTGAAACTTAAAGGGCAGCACACCAAAACCAAAAGCCATAACTGAAATTCAAGAATTCTATTATGCTGTTGAATTATATACAGTACAGGCCAAAAGTTTGGACACACCTTCTCATTCAATGCGTTTTCTTTATTTTCATGACTATTTACATTGTAGATTCTCACTGAAGGCATCAAAACTATGAATGAACACATGTGGAGTTATGTACTTAACAAAAAAAGGTGAAATAACTGAAAACATGTTTTATATTCTAGTTTCTTCAAAATAGCCACCCTTTGCTCTGATTACTGCTTTGCACACTCTTGGCATTCTCTCCATGAGCTTCAAGAGGTAGTCACCTGAAATGGTTTTCCAACAGTCTTGAAGGAGTTCCCAGAGGTGTTTAGCACTTGTTGGCCCCTTTGCCTTCACTCTGCGGTCCAGCTCACCCCAAACCATCTCGATTGGGTTCAGGTCCGGTGACTGTGGAGGCCAGGTCATCTGCCGCAGCACTCCATCACTCTCCTTCTTGGTCAAATAGCCCTTACACAGCCTGGAGGTGTGTTTGGGGTCATTGTCCTGTTGAAAAATAAATGATCGTCCAACTAAACGCAAACCGGATGGGATGGCATGTCGCTGCAGGATGCTGTGGTAGCCATGCTGGTTCAGTGTGCCTTCAATTTTGAATAAATCCCCAACAGTGTCACCAGCAAAACACCCCCACACCATCACACCTCCTCCTCCATGCTTCACAGTGGGAACCAGGCATGTGGAATCCATCCGTTCACCTTTTCTGCGTCTCACAAAGACACGGCGGTTGGAACCAAAGATCTCAAATTTGGACTCATCAGACCAAAGCACAGATTTCCACTGGTCTAATGTCCATTCCTTGTGTTTCTTGGCCCAAACAAATCTCTTCTGCTTGTTGCCTCTCCTTAGCAGTGGTTTCCTAGCAGCTATTTGACCATGAAGGCCTGATTGGCGCAGTCTCCTCTCAACAGTTGTTCTAGAGATGGGTCTGCTGCTAGAACTCTGTGTGGCATTCATCTGGTCTCTGATCTGAGCTGCTGTTAACTTGCGATTTCTGAGGCTGGTGACTCGGATGAACTTATCCTCAGAAGCAGAGGTGACTCTTGGTCTTCCTTTCCTGGGTCGGTCCTCATGTGTGCCAGTTTCGTTGTAGCGTTTGATGGTTTTTGCGACTCCACTTGGGGACACATTTAAAGTTTTTGCAATTTTCCGGACTGACTGACCTTCATTTCTTAAAGTAATGATGGCCACTCGTTTTTCTTTAGTTAGCTGATTGGTTCTTGCCATAATATGAATTTTAACAGTTGTCCAATAGGGCTGTCGGCTGTGTATTAACCTGACTTCTGCACAACACAACTGATGGTCCCAACCCCATTGATAAAGCAAGAAATTCCACTAATTAACCCTGATAAGGCACACCTGTGAAGTGGAAACCATTTCAGGTGACTACCTCTTGAAGCTCATGGAGAGAATGCCAAGAGTGTGCAAAGCAGTAATCAGAGCAAAGGGTGGCTATTTTGAAGAAACTAGAATATAAAACATGTTTTCAGTTATTTCACCTTTTTTTGTTAAGTACATAACTCCACATGTGTTCATTCATAGTTTTGATGCCTTCAGTGAGAATCTACAATGTAAATAGTCATGAAAATAAAGAAAACGCATTGAATGAGAAGGTGTGTCCAAACTTTTGGCCTGTACTGTAGGCTAGTTGAAAAGTAACGTTATGTTAAAATGAAAAGTCAAAGTCTGATATACTTTGGTTTCTTTTATTTTCTTTTCTTTTTCAATTAATATTAATTTAATATTATTAATTATCTGATGTGCATAGACTAATACCAGTACAGTTGACATTTTGAGCTCCCCAACAATCCTCTTTCAATATGTTATGTATCTATACATGCCAGTCAACTCAATGTTCTTCAAACAGGCTTGTTGTCCTTTTCCTTAAAAAGACAAATAAATGGCGGAAGGTAATAATCTATAATGTAATGCTGTTAAAATGTCTAGTTTATGTCTAGTGTTCACCATGAAGACACACAGCTGGTTAGTTTTGGATGGAGCAGGCTAACCTGTCATGGTGCAGGTCACCACCAGTGCCGTGGGGGTGGGCTCTCTGTGGGACTGCTCTCCTGAACGGACCTCCAGCAGCCGCAGCCTGCTCTTCAGGGCCAGGTTCTCCCTCTGGCTCCGGGATATTTCCAGCCTCAGGGTAGCAAACCCGTCGTCCACCAGCTGACAGATCTCAGCCACAGCCGCGTTAGCTAACACCTCCATGATGGAAGCCAGCTGAGTGTGGAAATTCATATATGTCGCCATCCTGTTCGGTCCTAAAAGCGCGATAACGTTACTTTTCTCCTAACGAAATGACAGCTGAATGTTCGTTGGAAATTAAATAAGCCTCATATGGCTATGAGACACGTGAGAGGTGACAATAATAGTCATTTTCTACAGTGACTTATCAATAAAAATGTTGTTTCTATTTACTTCCGGGTGTGCCGCAAGGAGGTTAAAAAGAGGAGACGTCACGACGTCATAGCGCTTGATATCGTTGAGGTACGATCACATGCGCATTAAAATCTGCTCACTGGCGCTTTATCATTAAACATGGGGATGATTGATTCGTTCTTCTGAGGCATTCACAGTCGGAATAAAAAAAACATATATATTTTTAAAGTATATAGATATTTATATATCTATCTATCTCAGATGTTAAGGGGTCGCCTCAAACACTTTTTTGTTCTTTCGTCTTTTTTGTTTTGTTTTTGTTTTGTTTTTTAATTGCATAATATTAACTCTCCCCTGGCTGCTAAAATATGATCTCAGTGTCCTCAGTTGGAGCGATGGCTCTAACTACTAGCTGTAGTACAATATGTCCTTATAGCTTTAATCAGATTTTATTCCATCATGTGTTTTGGGTACGACTGCAAAAGATAGATGCTGAATATACATGTTTAAAGGGCAAGTCTGAGTTAAGAGAATCCTGGCCACATTAATGATCAAATAGTTTCTTAATGTGTAGAACTGAGTCAATTTATAGTTTCAGTGTCCATCCATCCATTTTCATCTGCTTATTCAGGACCAGGTTGTTGGGGCAGCAGGCCAACCAAAGTGCCCCAGACGTCCCTCTCTCCATTGACACTTTCCAGCTCTTCCTGGAGAACCCCAAGGCGTTCCCAGGCCAGACATGATATGTAATCACTCCAGCGTGTTCTGGGTCTGCCCCAGGGCTTCCTACCAGTGGGACGTGCTCAGAACACCTCGTACGGGGGTCGCCCAGGAGGCATCCTGATCAGATGCCCGAACCACCTCAAGTGACCCCTTTCGACATGAAGGAGCAGCGGCTCTACTCCGAGATGTGCTCCTCATCGTATCTCCAAGGCTGAGCCCAGCCACCCTGCGAAAAAATATAATTTTGGCTGTTTGTATCTGCGACCTCATTCTTTCGGTCACTAGCCAAAACTCATGACCATAGGTGATGGTTCGGACATAGATAGACCAGTATTGTCCTAAGCAAAGGAGTTTAAGTATCGTGGGGTCTTGTTCATGAGTGAGGGCTAGTGTCTGTGTGCTGTTTTAAAAATCGTAAGTTGAGAGAGGAGTTTGCACTGTGCTCACTGGGGTGGTAGGGCTCTGTTACTGGTCAGTTTAGCTCCGGTTGATGATGATGATTAGAGGTGGAGGAGGAATGGTTAAAGGACAGGCTGACACTCGCAGATAAGCAAAGGATGAAGACACAGAGGTGGGCGTTGTAACCAGTAACACTTCCAGTACCTGTCTTGACAGCTGCTGGGTTTGTAATTGCCCAAACAACATAGATGGTTCGGACAGTTTGATACTAGTTTCTGGCTCCACCCCTGAAAAGTTTTTTTTCTCCTTTACCACACAAATTTAAATTTAAAACTGCAATAATTAGCTCTTTGTTTTCCATCCTGTACAGTACTGTATCAGTGAAAAAGCTCTGACAAACACACTGTACATATTACCTGCTTAGCAGCAAACAGACTCAGCTGGAGACTAGCTGGTCAACACAGTGAAGCATTTAGCAGCCAACATCTTTTCCTTAGGAGTTGGTGGAGACCAAACACAGAGCTAAAGTGGAGTGAACTGGATTCATCAGGTGGACACAAACACATCTCCAAATGAATGGTAATGTTGCTCTGTGTCTGCTGGATGTGTAAATAAGCAAATGTTTGCTTATATGTCAGCCACAATGACTGACTGACTTTAGAATGAGCCATTTGTATTTACACAGGGAGCAGGTCATCTTCCACGCAGTCCGCCATGTTAGTTCTGCAATAACCCAGAATGGACAAACAGGTGTTACAGCTTTATGTGTTCTGCTCTGCTGTCCCCTTTCCCTCTACTGTAGATCTGCCCAGGTGTGCTGTATTTCCTGAGGAGGTGCATTGCACCTGGCATGGGGAGGAGGTGCAGAAGAGCTCCTGTGCCAGCAGCAGAGGAGAGAGGCCTCTGGTGTGGGGACTGCTGGTCCTGCCTCCTCTCAGCCTGGGATTTTATTGTCTGGTTTGCATGATTTTTGTTAATAAATCCCATGGATTTGATTGTTTAAAAGGTGTCTTATGTGGTTATTTGGGGTACTATTGCACATTTCCTTATAGTGCATAAGTGATTTATTCATTAATTGTCCTTGTTTTTCTATTTAAAGGTCCAGTGTAGGGGGTATTTAGTGGAATCTAGCGGTTAAGTATTACAGACTGCAACCAGTTGAAACTTCTCCAGGGTAGAATTCCTTCAATGTTCGTTCTTCAGAGGTTTTAACTGGGAGCTGACTTATCCACAGTGGTCTTTACCTCTCTAAATCAAATGGACCAGATGATTTAAACCGGTCAGCAGTTTCATGTTACATATGAATGTTCCTTCTACGATGCTTGGCTCATCGCAGACAGGCTGCTCACCCAGTGCCTGCTAATGTGTTCTCATCTTATTTCTGATCCAGATGTTTGGGAGGTTTTTACTGGGAGCAGAATTATCAGCAGAGGTCTCTTCTTCTCTTAAACAAATTGACGTGGTGATTTAAATTGGTAAAACACAGAATAAAGCTGTTTCACATTTTAAAAAATCAGCTTCTTTCAGATGGTTCCCTCGCGGAGGGTCTACTAACTACAATGGCTGACATTAGAACATGAAAATGTGAATGGCTCTATGTGGAGTCAGTAATTGGTTTGTCCATTCTTGGCTACAGATATAAATGCCTCATTTTAAGGTAACCAAACACCATTACTTCTATTTTCAGTTGATTATACACTAAAGAAAACATAGTAATAATATCATATTCAATTTCTGCCAGTAGACCCCCCTAAATCCTACACTGGACCTTTAATTTGATGTCTGGGTGAAAATATTCTCCATATTTAAATACTATGATGAATTCCCATCACTTCGTCTACCTAGCCACTTGTGAATCAGTTAGTCTGTTCAGCTCACAAGTTTCATTTGCCTGTTAGCAACTGTATGAACAAATGTGAAATTTACATCTCCTCAACGTTAAGACAGATGTTAACATGACCTGCACCGATAAGCACAGACATTCACACACACCACAGTCAGCTCTACAGTCTGCTACTCTGCTGAGGAGAAATGATCGAGTCCATCACTCATTTTAAATCAGATCTGTTCAACCTGACTCAGGAACCACAGGAAGGCTCATGTTAACTGTCAGAGATCTTTTTAATAACCAAATTCTATACAAGACTTTCCAAACATTTTCCAAAGAAAAAAGGTTGAAGGAAATGAGGATCAAATGCTGCTGAAATGAAGACCAGACATATTTGTTCTATCTACAGGGGGTGGACACAATATCATGAACACCTGAACATCTTAATGTCATACAGTGTTAATTTGTCCCCTGAGGCACACACACAGCGCAGGGTGATTATGAAGCAGATCTTCCCTGTGTAACCTGCTCTACTTGGCCAGGTGCAGAGCCTGATGCCTGATGAGGTTGCTGAGGAAGGAAAAGTTCTTGCCACACTTGGAGCAGTGGAACCTTTTTTCCCCGGTGTGGACGCTCTGGTGGACCTTCAGGTTGGTAGAGGTGGAGAACTGCTTCCCACAGTGGGGGCAGGGGAAGGGCCTCTCCCCAGTGTGGACCATCTGGTGGCGCTTGAGGCTGCAGACCTGGCCGAAGCTCTTCCCGCACTGGACACACTGGTACGGTTTCTCCCCAGTGTGGACACGCTCTTGGATGCGCAGCTGGCACTGGTGGGCGTAGCGTCGTGAACAGAATTTGCAGGCGTAGGGAAGGCAGGGCTGCTGGGACTGTGCTGATCCAGACTCCTTGCTCTGATTGCTGGGTGCTTGATAAAGGTGGTTTTGACTGGAGAAGTGGGAGTTTTCCATCGACCGGATTCCAGACCAGGAATGCTGGGTTTGCTGTTGCTGAGAGTCCACTGCTCCCATGGCAGCCGGGTGATTGTTATAGGTAGAAAGGCTGTAGGCTGCATTACCTTCGAACATCGCTTCACTGGGCTGCTCATTGATCTGAATACACAGCAGCGGATGATACTGTGATCTCACACTGGTGTCGTCCTGACCTATGAGAGGTGTCACTTCTTCAGCTCCGTCATCTCCACCTTGTCCAGATGACACACTGCTGCAGCTGTCCTCCGCTGCACGAGGAAGTGAGTTGATCACAATAACATCATGCTTAGTTGCAGGGCTTGGCTGGACCACGTCACACTGAGTGAGGAAACTAGAGGCGGATTGGCTGAATGATGAGTTTCCTGCTACAGTTTCTGCTGTGTGTGTGGAACAAGATGGCTGCTCCCCGTCTCCAGTCTCACTGCTCTGCTGCCATCCCAGCAGCGTTTGGGAGGGACTGTGTTTCTCTGGGATAACACCTGATGAGCCCACAGCAAAGAAAACAGAATTAGAAAAAATAGATGCTTTATTCTATTTGCCAACAGTTTTACAAATGCACTGACTCACCAGCTTCAAAGACTACACAAGCTGCATGTTTCTGCTTAATAAATACAACTGCTTATTCTTGACATCCCTGCCAACTTGTTATGAGCAGTTACTGTACTGTAAAGTGCGATAAAGTGCTGAAAAGCATCACATTCATGATAAATAGTGTCAGAAAATCCAATTACAAATTGTTACTAAACAGTAACACTTTCAACAGCTAATGTTCATTTGGTACAGTTATTCCCTGCATTGCTGTTTGGCAGGTGAGTCAGTAACCTTAGATGACTGTATAGCAGTTTTTGCCTGTAACTGAATAAGCACATAACAATAATGACATTTTGAAAATTGTTCATGGAGATAATGACCTTCAGCTCCACACAGAGTACAGGTACTAAGACAGAAATGCAGTTTGGCATCTAACCAGAAGGAAAATAAAGCAGTACAATGCACAGTGATGTACAGAATTTACAGAATAAAATATAGAAAAAACTAGAACGCAAAATAAACAATAATACACTAGACATGTACAGTATGAGCAGTATAAACAGTATTAATTGTAACAATGATATGAATATGCTAAGATATATAAAGTAAACCAGTGGTTCTTAAATGGTGTGCTGCACCAGAGTGTGCCATGATGCAAATCCAGGTGTGTCGTGGGATTTTGTGATAACCACACATTATTAATGCAATATTCAACTGGAACTATACAAAAGTTATGAATAAATTTAAAATCTTATTAAGATTTTTAATCAGTACATTGTGTGCACCCATTCCCTCTACTGAAAAAATGTAATTAAATTTAATTTAATTTAGGAACACCTTCATGGGGAACCTATTTGCTGGTGATCGTGCAGGGGAATTATAAGTGTGTGACACATCACATTATCTTACATTATTTCCCGTTTAAATGGATATGTTATTGGTGGTTTGATGTAATTTTTAAAAGTTTAAAATGAATTCTTGAATCATTTTGTCAATAAATATTTCATGAGTAATAGTTGGTTGTCAATTATTTGATATTAGTAAATAAAAACAAACAGTTATGTCACGATAAAAGTGATAACACATGGTATAGAGTCGATTGTGCACAGATAATAAATACAGGTGTGCCTTGAGATGCTGGCTTGCCCTTTGGTGTGCCATTTCTGCCAGAGCGATGAAAAAAAAAAGATTCTGTGAGTCATTATAATGAGAGACCTCAAAATAATGAATTTGTATCTTAAAATAGAGAAACTTTCTCAGAATAAAGACGTGGTATCATTTTTTATTATTTTGAGATCTTAAGTCAACATGTTGAGAAGGTTCTTTCTTTCTTAAAATACCAAGTCATTATTTTGAGATAAGTAGTGAGTCATTTTGAGAAGATTTCAAATTATTTTAAGATACTAACTCATTTTGAGAGAGCCTTTTTTTCTTATTATTTTGGGATAAGTAAGTCATTATTCTGAGAACATTTTTCATTATTTTGTGATAAGTCATGATTTTAAAAAACGTTTTTGATTTTGAGATACTGACTCATGATTTATAGAAAGTTTGTCATTATTTTGACATATTAACTCATTATTTTAAGATAAGAGTTTATTTTCTGAACAAGTTTCTAATTATTTTGAGACAAGTGTTAAGTCATTTAAAAAAAGTTTGGACATACTAAGTCATTATTTTGAGATTAGTAAGGTGTTATTTTTTGAGAAAGTTTCTCAGCATTTTGTGACACAAACTCAGAATTTTTTGTTAGTTTGAGACACAACTTTAATTTTGAGAAAGGTTGGCATTATTTTGACATATTTATTCATGTTTTGAGATATTTATTGAGAATATATCTTATTTTAAGATACTAATTCATGATTTCTAGAAGCATTTTTATTATTTTGAGATAAAACTTAGAAATTTGAGAAAGTTTCTCATTATATTGACAGACTAACACATTATTTCTAAAAATGTTTCTCATTACTTTGACACTAACTCATCACTTTTAGGAAGTTTTTCATTATTTTGAGAGTTTCCAATTATAAAGAGTTATACATTTTTTCCCCCATCACACTGGTGGACATTGGTTTAGAAGCAATGCAGATAAGTATAAACAATAGAGGAGAAAGTGTCAGTAAACTGTGCTAACAGTAAACATTATATACAGACTAACAGCTGTATGTCTGATATGAATAAATGTGTACACTATGGATCACTAGTGGTTTAAATGTAAATTCTCTATAGGTCAGTACATTATGAGCTGTAGTGTAAATGTATGGGTATTTGAGAGTGGAAATGTCATTTGTACTCCATGGGCTTCAACATGGAAAACCGCACACTGCTGTGCTCCTTTACAGGACAGACGGGACCTCGGCACACAGCTTATCCCATCCCTTTAAAATGGTATAGATTTATCCTGCTTTCTAAAATGAATTTCTAATGTTGGTATGGTCAGTGTTTAAAAATGAAGTTTCAAAGACAAATCTGGTTCTTCTTCTTCTAGTGAACAAAACACATGTGCAAACTTAAACACACAATGAATGTATCTACTAACATGTACTGTGTGTGTTTATCCAGAGTCTGATATATCGTATTCATCTGTGCCTCACAGTGCTGGAAGAAGTACTCAGACCTTTAACTTAAGTTCAAGTATCAATACCACTGTGTGGGGAAACACTGTTACAAGTGAAAGCCCTACATCCACAATGCTGCTCAAGTAAAAGTACAGCATTAACATCAAAATATACTCAAACTACCAAAAGCAAAATTACTCATTGTGCAGAGTGAACCATTTCAGTATCATTAATATCACTGGATCATAATTATGGATGCATTAATGTGTATGTCACTTTAATATTGCAGCCAGTAAAGCTGTGGCTCATTGTAACCACTTCATTTACTGATGGGTTGCTAATGTATAAAAACACATCAGAATTTATCACTTGATTATATGCTGTATTGATAATTTGGATCTGCAAAGTAAGTGGTAACAAAAGCTGTCAGATAAATATAGTGAATATAGTGAAGTGCAAAGTACAATATTTGCCTCCAAGGTATGGTGGAGTACAATTATAAAGTAACACAAAATGGAATTACTCAAAGTACATAAGTACAGTAAGTAAATGTACTTTCTTTAAGTTATTTTCCACTACTGGTGCCCTAGCGAAATCAGCATGTCCAAAAACTATCAAAACACATCAGTGAGCCACACTATGTCACTGGGTGTCATGTTCCTTCATTACCATGAACACACACACTAGTTTATTTAGACTCAATCCCACATACACCGTCCTGCTGCCACAAAAACTCACTAGACAACAAAATGTGAATTGATCCGCCACTTACAAAAGTCCCCACCACATACACTATTTCCTCTGGTTTGTTTGTGGAAAACTACAGTGAGCAGCTGTTAAGAAAATGAAACTATGTATTTATGGGCTTGGGGCGAAGGGCCACAGACAGGAAGTCGGAGAGTATTTAGAAACAGACTTTTTTGTGTTTTACTGGAATTTATTGACAATAATAAATTTTGGTTATGTTTCACCTCCTCTCTGTCCTCTGATATAAAGCATCACAGAACACCTGGGGGATTTAACATGGACATGCTCTGTTCAGTTTGGTGATCATTAAACTTTGGTCAGAATAAATCACTGTCACCAGTGATTAGTGGGCTAGTGTATGAAGTTGCTTAGCATAGGTTGAAATGACTGAATGGTATTTCCACAATAGGAAACAATGTAACAGAAAAACAGGCTGATACCTTGCACTTCATGCATCTTTTCCTCCTTGCGCTGAGCACTGCTTGTGTTTTTCAGACATCTCTGGCCCTGGAAAAAGGAGGCAGGCGTTTAGCTGACACAAGGAACCCACAAGGCTCTGTCAGTAATTATCTATCATAAATAGGAGTCACTGGGTTGATGTGTTAGATAAACATTATGTACTGGATATAATTAAATCATTTAGTGGAGACCAGTTATTTACTCTGTATATATGACTAAAACAGTAATTAATACATGAAATCAGACCATACAATGAAAATATGATTTACTGGCATATTTACACTACACTGTGTGTATGCATGAGTCCAAATTTATGTGTGAATTTCTCTTTTCTTTGGTGAGCTGATAGCTCTGATTAAACGGATGCAGAAGGAAATGGTAAACATGCAGTTACAGCTGATGATGTGATCAATCTAAGTGACAGTCTGAAGTGTAGAAGCACTCCACTCAGAGCACAATGACGCTTCTATACTTCAACAACTTGGAAATATTAAAGGAATACTTCACCCCCCAAATGACCCTTTGTCAAATTTTCTTGCATGCCTCCAGGGTGAACGTAGAGTCCAATAACAGAGAAAATTCTTCAGTCATGAAGTCATAGGGGTCCACACATAACAACAGCAACACTGTATCAAACCATCTGTTTACAAACTGTAATACGACTCCTGCAGTGTAATCCAAATCTCACCTATCCAGTCGTATGCTCCGACATCCCTAACAGACAGCCCTTTCCAACAGGGAACTGTACGGAAACTTCATCTGAACACTCTTCAAAGCCAGACTCCACTGACAAAACCAGTCATTTTACCTTGTTGAACACAGGAGCTGCTGGTCTACCAAAGCCTCGGTTAGTTAGTTTTTTTGGTGTTGTGTGACTTTGGTCAATCCTAACTAACCCTTTAAAATCACCTAAGTCACATAATAACAAAAATAAAGTAACTGATGGTGGCAGTGGTAGACCGGCAGCTCCTGTGTTCAGTGAGGAAAAATTACTGTTTTTGTCAGTGGAGTCTGGCTCTAAAGAGAGCATAGATAAGTTTCACTTTCAGTTCAGCTCCCCATTGGACAGGGCCGTCTGTTTGGGAATTACTGAGCATATGACTGGATAAATGAGACTGGGATTGTACTGCACAAGTTGTTTCATAGTTTGTAAACTGATGTTTTGATACAGTTTTGCTGACGTTAAACGCAGCCTCCTTTTACCACATATTATCAAGAATTTTTCAGATTCTTAGCTCACCATGGAGTCATGCAAAAAAAAAAATCAAGTGGTCGGATAGGTGAGATATTGTTATGCAAATGGTCATTTGAGGGGGGAAGTATTGTTCTGAAACACCTAGGATTTCAAACCAGCTAACTGCAGAATACAAACAGTAAGAGCACGCTACATCTGCTCACATGCAGAATCCATGTCCACATACTGTATTTATTTAGAAATGTCGTATACAGTACCATTACAACTTTGATCATACTTGCTTAACATGAGGAAAGGACAAACAAGAATTCTCATTACAAAACTAAACGTAATGATATGATGAGAAATTCATCTGTCTCATTCAAGTCCTTATTGATTAGAAAGGAAACAGAAATCTATGAAAAGAAACCTATCATATCCATTTTCAGAGAAGCACTCATTAAAATGCACATCAAACATTCAATATAACTGTCTTTGTGGAATTTCTGCTACGTCTGAGTGATTCACACAGACATACATGAAGTGTGTGTGTGTGTGTGTGTGTGTGTGTGTGCAGTAGTAGTAGAAAGTCTGTGACATTTTGCACCTGGTGCTCAGAGGGAGTGGTGTCACAACAGTGCTGAGTTGGAACACATAATAAAAAGGAGGAAGAGTATTTTCAGTTCTTCTTCAGGCTGCATTGTTGACGAACTTCAAAACCTAATTTGCTGTTGAAGCCTTAATTAATGACACAGAGCGAGTTTGACGGACACTCATTCCTCTTGTCACAGTGAAACTCCCAATACATTTTACCATCAGTTTCATCATTTATGATATTACAGAGGACTAGACTGTAGAGTCTGACAGTGTATAGAATGAGGAGAAGTTAAGTTGGGCCTCTTGTTTGATTTCTCTCTGCTCACATGGTGTATGTAAGGTCTTTTATTGGACATTCATAAATCAACACAATCACCAGAATTTTTTTTTTGAAATTGTACTTTTCTGCAAACCTCAGATTCTTAACATTTGCATGTTATTATGTAGCGCCTGGGCCTTCAACAGGAGGTCTGCGACCCCTAGATTGTCCTCAGAAGCAATGCAGGGGGGCTGCCAATTCATTGTTTGATAATATACGTTTTAATATTTTTCTCCTTCTTTTAAATATTTAAATGTCTGAAAATACACATTTTCACATCATTAGCAAAGATAAATCTGTCTATTCATAAAAAAACTCATTTAATTTACAGAACACAACATTGATGATAGCCTAACTGTTACCAATGTGCTATCACGTGAGCTAGCTAATGCTTAATCACTGCGCAGCACTTATCCACAATGACGAGGCAAACGGGCAAGGCAAGCTAGGCATGTACGATAGTGCACTTTTTGCTGATCTCTTCATATTATGCATGCATACTCTTATCATGATGGCCCACCAGCAGATGGAGACAGGAAACAGAATGCTTTTCAGTGTATGTAGTATTCATTCAGTGGGCAAAATAAGAAAACGCCTGTTGGCTGATTGTGATAGTTCATTTTAAAGCAAATATTGATTGAAACTGATGACGTGTCAATACGTTAATGATGTAACGTCATTCGTGGGGCTCAAATTCATAGGATATAATACCAACTGTTGTGCATGCATTTTTCATTGGATATCATACAAACCGTTCTATGAGAATACATTGAATATGCAAATGTACCGTATTCATGGTTTGCAGAAACATACAATGCCAACATTTTCTTCTGGCAACTGGGCTGCATAAATTTATGGATGTAGTTGGCATAACTGACAGTTGAAAATACTACTAGGGAAATTTTTAAGATCTGACATGAGAAAAAGCTTTAACAGTTTAAAATGAGCTCATTCACAGTTTCATGGTCTGATTTGATGAGTGATGATATGTTTATAGGTTTTACATACATAAAAACTTTCCATAAAAGTGACTTGTGGATTTATCTGGATATGAAGGCAAAATGTAAAATTGACATATACTATATATGCTGTACTTTATCTCATTTACTGAAATGATTCAGTCACTGCAGCACTTCTTTGGTGTGTGTGTGTGTGTGTGTGTGTGTGTGTGTGTGTGTGTGAGATGGAGAGGCACTATGTTACTGTTTGTCTCAGTCAGGATGATTCCTGTTGCGCTACTCTTTCATGTCAGTATAATTCTCTGAGTCTCACCAGCTGTTAATGTTTTATTGATGTCAAATCATGGAGGTTCAGCAGTTCAGGTGGTCACTACCTGGTTTTTATACCAACTCTTCATCTTTCTACAGAATGTTCATATATCTCACACTCCCTGATGCTGCTACGTAAACCAAAGTCTCTGGGGTGCGATTATAATCCTTGATGATTTTCATTATGTCAAACTCAAGATTCAAACTGATTTTTTTGTATTTTTCCTGCAAAAGCTATTTAATGTAATTACATCCTGTAATTCTTTATATTGTAGTTTTCTGTTGTAGTTCGCCATCCCCACACTAGGTTCAGATCTCCTTTATTTCAAATAAGACTGTGAAGGTTTGGATGATAAAATAAACTGGAGAAGCATTCAGATAGGTCCAAGGAGAGAGGTGCTGCTTGTATTTTTGCTACATCACATTTGGTTTGGAGTACTGCATTGTCTTTTAGTCTGCTCTACATTTCTTCCATCTCTTTTTGTTTCTAATAAAAATGGAGTGCTAAAAAAGAACTGTCAGGGTAAAAAAGTGAAACTGTTAGTATTGTGTGAAAAAGCTGAATCTAGTCCTCTTCAGGGAAACTTTGGTGCAGCGGTGTCATTGGGCGGTCTGGTCTTTGTGTTCAGTGCTGGATCTTCTGGTGCCTCTTGAGGTTGCTGGGATGGGAGAAGCGTCGGTTGCAGATGGAGCAGCTGAAGGGCCTCTCTCCAGTGTGCACATTGCGGTGGATGTCCAGCTGGCTCTGGCATACAAAGCTCTTGCCGCACAGCAGGCAGGTGTAGGGCTTCTCCCTGGTGTGCCTGGCCATGTGCTTCTGCAGGTCTGACTCTAGGAAGAAGCGCTTGGTGCAGCTGGTGCAGCCGTACGGCCGCTCCGTGGTGACTGCATGGTAGAAAGCCAGGTGAAAGCTGTTGGAGAAGGCCTTGCTGTAGCTGTGGTTGTGGTGGTTCACAGGACGGTGCAGAGCCAGAGAGGAGTTGAAACTGGAGGTAATTCCACCACAAGATGTTCTTGGAGTGTCATTATGAAAAAGAACAGACCCTGCCTGCAGAGAGGACTTCACCTGCACTGACCCGTGTCCTGCTGATTCCAGCCCAGCATACTGAATGGTGGGTGATGTTTGTTCATATCTGTCTCTCTCTCTGCCTGCTTCTGTCTTTATCTGGTCTACATCTGACCACTCACACTCCTCTCCCTCCTTGTCTGACATGCCCCCTCCATCAATGACTATCACCTCTGACAGGGAGGACTCAGAGGTATCTAACGCAGCCTCATTATCTTTCCTGCTGTCCATTACATCATCACAGGAAGCTTGCACAGCATCCCTGCTTGATGTCATTCCAGCACATGAGTTCAGTGGCTCAATGTCCCCTGCTTTGACATCACTTGCTGTTAACTCCAGCTTGGAACTGTGGGTAGTGTCACTGCTGCTGCTGTCAGTTTCAGCTGTCCTGCCGACAACAAAGGTGACGATGTCAGATCCACTGACCTCCGTTTCGCTGCGGTGTCTGGCTGCCCGGCCGTCGCTGGCTTCCGTCGAGGCAGCGGGGAGTGATGCAGTGGTCTGGGCTTCTCCCCTGCTGCTGAGGCTGGCGTCTGCCGGCACCTCGGGGTCAGTGGATCCGATCTCCATCGTTCCCTCCACCTTGACGATCAGCAGCTCCCCCTCCTCCGCAGGCTCTGCTGACTGAGAGGACAAACTGATTACTAATATGAGTACAAATAGTTCCTGCCCACAGTAATCCCATTATAAAACAAGAAATACAGCTGCAAGCAGCTATGATCAGGTCCAGACAGACTGCAAGCATTTGTATTAGGGCTGTCAGTGTTAACGCTGTAATTGCGATGCGATAAAGGTCTGAATATAACATGTTTGGTTTTTTACATCGCAATTGTTATTTTGTCCCTTCTACACACTGTAGTCAAGCTGCCGCAGCGGCTTCCTGCTTCCTGCTGCTGCAGTGATGGAAAATAATGACACCACCGCCCTTTTGAATGGCTCACTTCACTTTACAAAACTCTCAGACGGCTCAGTTGAAAAGTCAAAAGTATAATTCACCTTATGTCAAATGGACTTTGCTATTGCTGAATTTCTGAATGGGTGGAATGTCACTGCTGACCAGTCAACATCATGGAAGACTCTGGTTTAAGGGACGTCATTAGGTTGGCATGTTGTGACCAGTCATACGAGATAAACCTTCTTAGCCGCTAGGCTTATTTATACAATGTAAAATGTTTTAAGCTTTTGCCAATAACATTAGCATGGTGTATTTGTAACCTTGTGAGTTATAATAAAGCTGAATTTTATAAAGTTGTCTTTGTTTAATGTTGCTGTTATTCCTGGCTTCATATGAGTAGAGGGAAACTCCACTAACCACTAGGCTAATTTATAAATGTAAAATACCATAGGCTTGTGCTAATAAGGTTAGCATGTTGTATTTGTGGGGAAAATGTGTCCAGTGTAGCAAAGGAAGACTTGCACACAGAACAACAAAAGATTCAGACTGAAGTCTGGAGTCACTGCAGACTCACTGTTTGACCAAACTGAACACCATTTCAAACACTTGATAGTGACTAACTAAAAGTATGTCAGTGTCAATTTTGGTAGCATTCGAATTAAGACTTATGGAGATACGGATATTAATTGAATTTGCATACTTTGAAAAACATAGATGGACGGACTGCTGAATCGACCATAGACTGCAGTGAGGAAAGTGTTGTCACAATTCAGTGGATGTGCTTTTTTTCAGTCTGGAATGTGAAATATCCAGAAATTTAGATATGTTGTAATAAGCCACGCCAACTTTTATCAGTCATTACCAAACTTTATGTATCATGGTTTTGAGTCTATAAACCAATGTAGCAGATTACAAGATTTTTCGCATTTGTGGTGCCCCCCAGTGGCACAAAAACCCAAGACTGCATGGTGAAGTTTGGACATAGACACCAAAGATGTGCGCCAAGTCTGATTACAATTGTGTCAGCCAAATCTGATTTATGAGCACTTATGCAAAATTGAAATTGAAGACACAGGTCTGAAAATGTATAATTTCAAAATGACTGACCAATCAAAATTTCCTTGATAACTTAAGCTCGCATTGTCTGTAGAAGATTCTGCAAAAGTTTACAGATGTTTGGTCCAAAGTTTTCTGACAAGTTTTTGAAAATGGGATTCAGAGAAAAGCTAGCAAAAAGATTTTTAGAGCAGAGGACAATTGTGGCAAAGACGCAGACAAATCGAGAGATTAAAATGGTTGAGCCTAGCTGTTTTTGAGATTTTTTTTTTTTCCACAGTGGAAATTACAACCCTTCATACTGTACAATATACAGTATGTCATACATGTAGTATATATACTATATGTGGTATAATGAACAACACATCCTGTTGCTGCACAGATACAAAATGACTCCAAACAGTTTATGTTAAAGGTGCAAACATTTTTTTCACATATATCTCTTTAAGAGGAAACACACAGGGTCTTGACTGGTTTCTATTAGCTGGTTCACTCATGCTGAGCTGTGAAACACTGGTGAAAGACACTGTGGGACAGATTTACTCAGAACTTTTGTAACTTATTTCAGATGCATTCTGCATCTGGGAATGTGTGTACAGTAGAGCTGACTAATGTCAGGGGCAGAAATATTGAATGTCTGTGATGGATATACTAACACACCCCTTGTCGCAGGACACTACAGCCCATTTCTGTGATCCGATCCTACTGTCATCTGCTGCTGTGTTCCCATGAATACATACAAATGCAGATTTCAGGTGCACTGACATTTGACTTTAGATTGTTTGTGGTACTCCTGTACTCTGTCCATTATCCATTCGTTCTGCCTTCCCTGCACTTCTTCAGCTGGTACAGTGGCAAAACTGTCCAGTAATCAGTAAACAAGAAGTGCTGAAACAGCACAAAGCGACACATCAAAACTGTATGAGACAGATGACGACTGTGGAGGACAAATGGAAAGAGTATGAGTGACTTCAGAGACTTCACTCACCATTAAAGGGCTAGTTAAGTAACTTTGTTTCGCACTTCCATTGAATGATGTGACTTGGGACAGACACATTTATAACACATCACAAGAATATGTGATGTTTAATACTATATTTGTGTATCTGTAATAATAACAACTAGAAGCTGTGTGAAGTAATCTGTCATCATGCCATCCGGCCTCTCAGTAATGGGCAGTCTGTGCGTTAGGTGTCGAAACATGAATTAAACTTGTGTGTAACGGACCACAAAATTCACTGTTTATTTTGATTTGATAAGATACCGTAGTTTGATATGTTTTTGATACAGCAAAAAAAAGAAATGCCAGAGAAATATCCTTGACTTTTAAAATCTTAAACATACAGAAACGAACATAATTTGGGCTCTTTTCTATTTTTTCAAAGTAGGAATTATTATCTGGCTGAAATGGGCTCATTAAAGTCTGGGTAAGGCTAAATCTTGATTGTTTTCTTAACACATTCTAAATATTATAAAATACTTGTTGAAAACGTGAAACGACTGTGAACCGTGTAGTTAGACTGTTCAACTGTTTTTCACAATTTTGGGTGTTTTGGGTGGGTCTAAAGGCCTGCTCTGTAATGCACTGGAGCCATCTTTAACATAACCTCTTCTCTACTATGTAAAAACTACTTTACTATTGACATTAGAGCACATAGTGTCAGTGTCATTTTGTTTGCCCACTGTGTGTCAGTGTTAAGTTTGCTTCCATGAGCTCTTTCAGTCGAATAAATACATGAATAAAAATCTGTGTTAAATGCCAGTCATATAAGCACAAGCTAAACAGCTGTCAATGATGCACCTTTTAGTCTTTCAGCCTGAATCACCTACTCGACCTGCCAGCAGTTACTGCTTACTGCTATGCGTGTGTGCTTCGTGCTAACATCAGCCGCTGAACAAGAGAATATAACTGCGCAGCAACACTCGTTTCCTGGTCCGAAAGGTGTGTGCCTTGACTTTGAGTGCTGCTGGCTTAGCTGCGGCTCGTTCTTTGGCTTCGTGTGTTTTTATCCACCACTCTCTTTTGCCATCGCCCTCATAATTTACAGCATAACTCAAGTGGCTCCAAACCTGTGGATTATGGAAGGATCTTTTATTTCTAGTCTGGTAATGGCACCCTTATCCATCTTATAACGAGCTAGTTTAGCTTAGCTGCCTCCCAGGGTGTCTCACAGGAGTAGAATGTTCTGGTTTGAGGGTGGGAGAGGCAGACAGCATGTTGCCTGTTCTGTCCTGTGAGCTGCCTTGTGGAGTGTAGTGGCACTAAGAACATTATACTAAACAGTTTAAGCTGTATATTTAATTTTCAAAATGTTATAGTATAGTTCAACCTATGTAATGCATCTGAACCAAATGCCTTGTACTGAATGGTTCAATACTAGTACATGTATTGTTTAGGGTTGGGCACCGAAACATTTATAAATATAAAAGATAAATAAAAAGATAAATCACTTTTCTATAATACATCAATGATATTTCAATGGAATAAATTACTTATTGACTTATTCACACTTCAAAAACAGCATCAATAAGTGATTAACGGGGGGGGGGTTGTCAAAATAAAATAAATAAATAAAAATAAAAATCAACCAGCCACCCTCCTCCCCTGACAAGTAAAGAACAGTCCCTAAAGTGCAGTGAGGTTTGTCGAAATGTGAACGGCTCATTTCTCCTCACATACCTGTGTGCCGCCACGGCTCGGCTGTTCAGGTACTACTGGGCAGTCATGACACCAACTTATTCACTTGGAGCCGGGCTTCTCGGTCACCGGTAGCCTCGCGTCACCAGGCTCTTCACGTATGGCAAAATGCCGGTAAACTGAGTTATCTTGCAGCGGCCATAGTGCTCCGCCGTATGTGACCCCCGTTCAACCCACAACTGGTAGGATTCGCCTTTCGTTTCTACTGCTGGTTGAAATCTGTACTCACACAGCGTGCTGAATTATTTATTTTGCTCGAACAAAACTATTTTTAGTCGCAAATGTGTTGTGTGTACTAGCAAGTTGCTAGCAGCAGCACGTCTCCCTCACTCAAGGGGATGTTTGTGATTGGCTGGCTTTGCTGTTGATCCAAGGCAAGCAGGAAATGAGGTTTGTGATTGGCTGGCCTTAGCTGTACATTTAGGGTAAGCATAAAAAGGATGTTTGTGATTGGCTGAGCTGTACATGCAGGTCAAGCTAGGGAAACTCATGGGGAAATTATATCATCAATATCGTTGCCTTCTGGGATATTAATATCTTGCATGTTCATATCTCGGTATAGATACGATAACGATATATCGTTCAGCCCTAACCGGTACCGAATTCCAGATACTGGTACCGTATCAGTTCAATTATGAACGGTACCCAACCCTAGTATTGTTACACCCCTAGTCTTAAGAAAACTATTAATGCTGGCCTTACACCAAACAACTTTCAAACGATTTCAATGTCGCAGACAAATTCACAATGTCGGAATAAAATCATGAGACTTTTGCTAGAGCTGTAGTGCATTCTTGTAATCTCAATTGTTTGTCCACTCCATGTCAAAACAGTAGCGTTACTCTAAGCCCATTTTTTGAATATAAAAAAACACATCTATGCTATTTATGTATACCTACATGTAACTACCTTCCTGTAACACTGTTTTGAGACTTTTATGTTTGTAAGAGCCAAAAGTCTTTATCAAAGTTGTCT